AATAATAATAATAATAATAATAATAATAATAATAATAATAATAATAAATTACTTTTTTTAAGAAAAGCAAACATGCTACCATATCTTGTGGAGTTTTTTTTATGTCTTTCATTAATTTTCTTTTTATGCTCAACACGCTCACCTGTTTGGGTCGATCCGGAACCGGACCCCTCACCGAAGTCCACATCAGAGGAGGCGGTGCCGGAAGTTAATAGCCAGAGGAGGCAGACAGTCCATCTTAACAGCGAGAACATCGCCTCTGTTTGATCGTCTTAACTAAACGAAGTTGAAGGTTCGCAATCTTGAAATGCACTAAGTTTTTTTTAAGCTATGTCAGCTCCATTTGGATAATAACCGAAGTTAATAACACTGCTGATCACCTACGTTTTTTATGGACACAACTCGCCAAAGAAGTAACTAATCCTCCTGGCATCTCCACCAGCCGGCTCCAGCCTCTCTCCTCATGCAGCTGCATCACATCAGAGAGGTGCTCAACGTTCCAACTGAGGCTCCGCCTTTTTCTTTTTTGTGCGGACCAATAAAGTTCCAGAAGCCTCCACCCAGTCTGCTGTCTGTCCTCATCTAATTCGCTGATGAATTTATTTATTTATTTTGACTAGTTTATTCAAATAGTATAGATGAGTAAAACACAGGCATTTATAACGGTCCTGCATACACCTAAACAGAGAATGCCTAAAGCTGAGGAATTCAAGAAGGAAAATAAAGCTTTGAAAGAAAGAAGAACTAATAAGTTGATGGATGTTAAATTGAAAACACAAGCAAGCAGAGACCAAAACAACAGATAATAATTGGGTACAGGACTGGGGTGGAAAAGTAGATCAATAAAGACAATACAGCAGCATACAGAGTTTTGACAAAGTGCCCAAAGACAGTCTGGTGAAAAAGGGATTATGGAGCCGTAATTAATCAGTCAGATAGATGTAGGTGTGAAGAGAAGATGGAGATAAGGTGAAGGTATGACCAACCTGGTCTCAACAACAAAAAGAACAATAAATTATATCAACAAAAATAGCAACACTTATGCATTCTGTAGTTAAATGTTCAACGTGTGTTCACAGAATGAATTTTCTTTCAGTCAAATCCAAATCAAATTATATCTGTTGTTAGAATTTGGCTTTGGCTTTAGAATTGTATGCTATCACGTGATCTATGTAAATTATTTATTTTATCATTCCTTTTATAATATTTTGTATTAAAGTCTCTGGCTGTGTCCACATATTCTCTCCCTCTCTTTTCCTTTCTCTCTTTTTCTTTCTCCGTTACATTAGATCCACACCTTTAGGTCAACATAAACACACACCATTTGTTACCACATTCCAATGTCATCTGCATGAATTTTGACCTGGCCTGTTCATGACCGGAGGTAATTCGCCAATAGGACTTGTTTATGTCCAGCCCTCCTTTGAGGAAGCAGATCAAGCCAAGGAGATAATGCCCATCATACCTAGATTTCGGGGCTCTTTGCCGACTGAGACCCTGAGAGACAGGTTTTTTCTGTGAAGAGCGCAGCGCTGATATACTTTGCCTGTGACCTAGTAAATGTCATTTTTATACTTTTGATCTACCCTGGTTTATTCTCAGGTTTTGAAGAAAAAAAAATCCTAAACTTTTAATTCTCAAATATGCTGTTAAATACCAGACAAAATGACAGCCACATGACTTGTCTTGCACTCTATGAATTATCTTGTATGTGTTCAGATAGACCTCTTTCTCATACCCAGGCTGTCTTAAAATTTGGATTAAATACAAGGCTGGCTATAGTTTACAGTAATCTATTCTTTTAAAAAGTTGGAAAGCTTGGAAAGAAATTCAGTGATCTTTGGAGTCACTGCCTCACTTTATTCCCACGAGGCCTTGTTCTTGTGACTGAATCAGGCTTCTCAGTTGTTATCAGATTGCTGTAACTGTATGCTTTCAGAAACATTTCTAAGCTTACCTCTGTGCAGGAACATCAGCTGTCCTGGCCCCTTGCCATCTGACCTTGGTTCTCTCCAGATGTCTTGGATCTGAATCTTGGTTCTTTTCTGTCACATCTATGAATATTTGTCTCCTCCCTTTATTCTGTGTTAACACTTTCATTCATTTTCAGTCATGTAGCAGTTTATACTTTTTCTAGGTTTTGTGGTGAGGTTTCCATGTGACTTAGGTCTTTTCTCAACTCCTGCAGGTCTTACTCAAAGAACTTGAACTCTCCACCCTGCAAATCTGCTACAGGGTTTTTTCCTAGACATCTACCACATGTGCCAAGAGAGCTCTCCCCCTTCATTTGCTTTCCCTGTTTTTTTCCAGTCCGTTTTCCTACAGAAGTTGAAAAGAGAAAACTGATCTATGTTTTGTGGAATTTAGAATTGTAAAAAGAACGATGTGTCATGCCACAATTTGTTAATAGTCTGCAAAATATGGAATACACCAGCTCAATACAATTCATTAATGCTTTAGTGTGTACCTCTGCCAGACTCTTTTGTAATGAATCTTTGCCTGCTCTTCTTCTTTAACAAATAGTTACATGTGCAAGTATTAATTTGGCTCAACAAAAGCGTTAAAAAATAATTGGAAATATGGATAGTATATAAGGATAGTATGGGAAATATGGATAAACATATCATACAGAATGTCAATAAGAGAACAATCTTCAATCATCTACATGGTGCAGTTTCATAATCATACATCTTTATTCAGTTACCTATATCCATACAAAACCTTCAGATACAGTCGAAATGACTGAGGGAGAGACATTAAGTTTTAATCACTCCAGACACTTCCTTTTTTTCTGAGACAGAACCTCATGACCAGTTTGATGGTTTACTATAAATAAAAGGCTTTTTTTACTAATTTTGTTTTTGCCAACTTTAAAAAATACAATCAGGAAATTAATTGTACAAATTGTGGATATGATGAAGCCAAATTTTATTTTATTTTGCTTTATTATTCGCATGCACTTTATCTTTTCAGAAAATGCAGATGTGTCCAGATGAGGTCAGCCGTATAAAACTGTCAGAAAAAAACTTGGCACTCTATTAATTACCTGTTCACTGGAAGTCTGGTCTTTTCTTGTGTTTATTGTTAAAATCTACTATAGAGGTCAACATGGGACAGGTTCTGCTCCAACATGGGAGCTCATGATCGGATGACAGAATATTGTTACCTTATAGACCATCAATGTCATACCAGCAGTTGGACCTTGTTACCTTAAAGTCTAACAAGAGTTATGTTAAATAAAAAACACAGTTACGGCACATATGGAAAACTCATAGTAAAGCCAATATTTTTTCAAAAACCATACTTGAACAGTGTCAGCATGATTGCAACAAGAAAATTACTTTATTCTACAAATAAATAAAAATGTTTATTGGAAAACATTGATTTAATTTTCATTTTCTTACTAATTACATCGAGCTATGACCAAACCTGCAAACAAGTCACCTCAAATGTCTCTATGTATAAATTTCTTTAAGTTGAACAGTATAAAGTTTTTCAGTAATTTCTCTTTTTTAATTTTACATTCAATCACAAATTCCAAATATATTTGTTTTTTTTTTTAATGCACCGCCTAGGAAGGTTAGGAAATTGAATAATGGAGGCAATCATAATGAGTTTTCCAGGCTTCTATTTTTTCTAAGAACCAGTCGAGTGCCATAATAAACCACTGCTGAGACATGTTTCATCACCATCATGACTACACAGTACCACTTAAAGCTAATTCATTTTCATTGAGTGGAACACCATCGATGACTCAAAAACAATTTTGGAGAAAAATGGTCCGGTAAATTTGCTCTCATTCCTGCTGCTCAGTGTGTTACCAATCCTTGAGAAATGGGGATATCATAATAAAAAAATCAGTGATACAAAAAAGGAAGAACTGGAGCAGTAGCCATAGTGAGATCTTTTAGTTTCTATATGCTAAGGACAGACACTTCTGTACCTCCCTTGTCTCCGTAGATACAAAATAAAAAAAACACCATCCTTTATCACGTGAGACGACTCCATCCAAATATCCTTAATACAGCAATTTTCACACAAAGCTCCTTTAGATTTGTATCTACTGTCTGTAATTCTTGTGGATAAACATGAGGAGATGGCATCTGTATATTTCAGTGTTGTGCATTTTCAATTTATTTACAGATCTTGATATTAAAGTACTATTTCAAATATATCTAACTGGTGTGATACAACAGAACAACCTCTGTCAAAAATTGCCTTGGGTAAAATATTTGAAGCACTGAGTAGGCCTTTGGCTATTTATTTAACAGCTGTAGTTTCAGCGCTGCTGAAACAGTGGCCAACAACTCCAAGGTCAAAAAGTCACAAAAGTAGTGTTTTCTCACCAGGAATACTTAATGGTGATGGAAAAAACAGTAATACGGTGTCAATTTTAGTAAGAGCAATCAGCAGCTAGGTTGTGCAAATTCCTGGCATTCCATCCATGAGCTTATCAAATTTTACTGCCTATGTTTAGTCTAATTTATACCTCTCTGATGCACCAAACACCAAATCAAAATAATCAAAATTTAATATATGACCTCTTCTTTGACTTTTCAATATCACAGTTAAAATCAAAAACCACTTATATTTTGGCTTGTATTGGTGTTCTGTTTTAAAATATTTACAAGTAGAATGTGCCGACTTGATTGTTAATGGTACTTTCTTGTGGATAAATGTGCTTGCTGAATGCAGAAATGTAGCCAGATAAAAGAATAAAAGCTACAGACAGAAAGTGACAAGTAAAGCGTTTTTCCCTGAAAAAAATAAAGACAATTTTTTTTGTAATCCTACACTAAGGAATCATGTTCAGCCAAGCAGGAGGATATACCTCATCAGAGCAGCTTGATTTGCATGTTGTGTTTTCAAGCAGGCTAACTGTTAATGACAGTTAAGCATGACTCTCAAGAAGCCCTAAGGTCTTTGAGCTTTCAGGACCATTTTGGCTTAGAAGATGTGGGTACAAACCAAATTTGGGTTTTCATTTTAGGCGATGGCAGCACTGTTCACAAAAATGTGGCTATAATGAGCCATTTCTGCGTAACTTCATACCTCACATAAACCACATTATTCATGTGGGGAATTTGATCCAGCCATCAACTTAAAAACATTACATCTCCAGAAAGAAAAAACACAACTTGGCCTATATTAGCAGAACACATTTTTATATTTTGAGTGGTTCCATCTGTGTAGGACTCATGCAGTCAACTTGTCAACTAGAAAAATGCCCAGCATTTCATATTTATCATATTTATCATTTGTATCAGTTGTCAGTAAACAATTTATCATATAACACATTTATAATCTACAACTTTATAATAGACAAAAATACAATTTGGTCACAGTCACAATAAAGCCTGAACCTGCAGATTGCAGAGGGTAAAGCTATGGGGCTGATGAAGTGTCGTCTTGTTGCATAGCCCTACTTTTTAGTCAACAGTCATCCATAGCTGTGAACTTACATATTGGTTACTCCACCAACAAATGTCTGCACAAAAATATTCTCAGATCAAAGATATTAGAAGGAAGAAACCTTGTACAATTTGGACATTTATGGCAAAGATTAGAGATAAACTGCATGCTTGAAGAGGCAGGTGTTTCTAAATTTGAGATTTCTTTTTCTAATTATCAATATTAAAAACACATGGTACACCACAACCATATAAAGGCCATTTTTTATGGCTGATTGACAGTATTTTTGTAAGACAAAGGCAAGTGCTTACCACACACTCTTTAGCCAAAGAAACAAACAATACGCTTCGACAACCCTATCATGCACTACACAGTTTACTTCAGATTATTTCTGACTAACTCTGACTTTTCAACCACAAAAACTTAGAACAAAAAGATTTTTTCCCAACTTTTTTTTTTTTGCTGTTTCCATTTTTTCACAGCGGGGTTAGTTTTTCTTACCTTACGACTGTAAGGTAAGGAACCACAGCCAGGACAGGTATTTGAACCACAGTCAGGCTGCATCTTAACACATCATGGCAAACGAGGCACTTAGTTTTCAGCCACTTCATGTCAGGAAGCAGTTTATGTCCTGTGTGAGCTCCAGCTATTTACTTTTTGTAAAATTTATAACAATGTGACGATGAAAACATGACTGTAGTTATACTGCAACCTATCGTATTGAGGGATTCTCATCATCTTTGTTTAATCTTTTATTAAGTTTCGGGCAGAATTTGAACACCTGAAAGAATAGATAATTATTCTATATCTACTCTGCCAAAATAGTTGAGAAAAAAAAGAGAAAAAATTATTGATAAAATACTTTTTACTTACCATTTTTAACAAACAAACTAAATTAAACTTACAATACTGCAACTCTGTGTAAGCAGCCAAGATAATATCAGTAATGACTCCTAAAATGCTTTAGATTTGGCTTTTGTTGTCTGTTTCACGAAATTTAATTACCCAGAGAAGATAGTTAAGGGTTTTCGCATGTGCTATCATTTCAGTGCAAGTAAAGGGGGTTGAAAAAGTTTGATATTTTTGTATCTTTTTTTCCTGTAAAGAGTTTGTTGTGTTAAAAAGACAGTAATAGTACAAAGCTGGAATGATCTCTAAATCCTCTTTGTGGCACTTTCAACCTGCTGTTACCTCAAAATGTATTTCTCAGAATTCTTTGACTAGCTTGGTAATGCAAAAGTTCATTGGAGATGAGCAGTATCAATACGGTCGGAATCTGGCCATCAGCTATCTCTCTGTGAAGTTGTCTGGGATGTTAGCACCAGTCATCATCCTCTTGCTCCCTGAGACTTCCTGTTCCTCTGTCCCCAGGCCCAGATGGAGAGTTGACTCCAAGGGTGAAGTGGTATCCATTAGGCACGCTCCCACCTCGTTCCTGCATGCTGGGTGCTGTAACAGGTGAAGCTGCTCCCTGCGAGGCTGAAGCTGTAGTGGATGAAGCAGTTCTTGGGGATCGTCCTCCTTCATGGCTGCTTACAGCATCATGGAAGTCCTCTGTCTCTTCAAGGAGGGCCTGCTGGGAGGATTCCATATGCTGGCGATTTAAATTAGGGTCTGAACCTATGCGGGTAACAGGCATTGGGGACTCTTTGCTGCCCACAAGTATGCGGTCATGCTCTGAAAGGCCACGGCTGAAGCGAGTTTGGTGCCCTGTTATAGCAGTGCTGGCACTGGATGTGAGCACTGATGAATTGACAGTTTTGTAGGCCACAGCGGGGCGGGGTGTGAGGGGAGTCTGTGGGAGCTGCCTGCGACTACGGACAGGTGTGTTTATACCAGAGGAGAGACCAATTTTAACCACACTGCTAACCTGCTGAGAAAACAAACATCGTACAATTTAATTAGCGATTATGAAATGATGACAACTGTTTGGTTTACTTTACAAACCATTTACACTGTGTTAAAGCAACACTAGAGAATTTGTCTGACTTTTTCTTCTTGGATCTACCTACAGTTGTGAAATGTTGGAACACTGTGATAAAAAACTGAAATCTCTGTGAGTCTTGCACATGTACACATACTTGCAGACATACTTGTAGAAAAAAACAGTTATTGTGGGACTGGAAACCAAAGTTGTGAGCTGTATGATCACAAGTGTAACTAAAAATTTCTTACGTGGTATGAATAAAATCAGGACAAAATTTAATAATCTTGCCCACTTTGTGTTTAAGGATACATTAATTTACTCCAGAAAAGTTACTAACATATAGTTTCACAAATTATAAGGTATACAAACTTCCCTAGTGATGCAAACTCCCCTAAGCGGACCCCAAACTTTTAGACTTTGTTGAAGAGTGCTAACCACAGCACCTTGACACTGCCCAAAGCTTAAATCTGGAAACATGAGCATCAGCAAACATTTGAAAGTACACTTTCCCACTTTTTTCATCTCTTTGCCAGCTTTTGAGTTTTAATGCAAAGCATAATTTAGAATGTGTGATGTTGGAGAACATTGTGAAGAGCAATAACAACTGTAGGAAAATCCAGACCATACTCACACATACACTGTAGATTCCAACTCACTTGTTTTGAGACACCAGAGTCCTGACCTGGTCCTGGAGATGTGGAACGACTGGGACCAGCAGACCGGGCATGACAATGCTCCCTGCTGCCATAACGCTCACAGGAGTAGTAGCGCTGCTTCTCTCCTGCAGAGGAGTGGTGCCGTCTCTCATGTGGACGTCCACGATCCCGCTCTCTTGCGCGTTCTCTTGACAGACCTTCAACTGAGGGGTCTGTGAATGAACCTAAGGTATTAGCAACAAGTTATACGAGACTGAGATAAACAGAACAGAATAAACTCAAACAGGCTCCTTTCTCATCAAAACCTTTTGAAAAATATCTACTGTTGCTCTCTGAAGAAGGAGCTAAATTTATGTTTCACTTACTGTGTCTAGCATTGATTTTTTTAGCTGTTTGTTTTGTATTACTATATTTATGTTTTGAAATATGTTTAGTTTCATGTGTATTGTCATTAATAGCCTTACAAGTATGCTATGTCATTAGTTGCATTTACGTAACCAGCCAACCTGTTTGGTTCTAGTTTAATAGGGATTATAATATTGTATGTTTTACACTTACTGCAAATGTCATTGAAACCACACATGTCCCAGATACCCATTTTGTTTCGGTTAGGGTTAGGGTTCTTTTGAAGAGCGCTGAGCTGACCAAGCTCTTGGTTCACAGTTTACCATCTTAAAAATGTCCCACCATTTGTCCATGTGGTCCCATTTCATCCGTCAAGCTTGTGAATGCTGAGTTAGGAGGTCTCAGCTTTTACAGCCAAGTGAATGACTCAAAGTTTGTTGTCAATACCCTTGTAAAAAAACCTAGATAGGTTTTGTAATGAGTTTTTGAAAATCCAGTAATGCCTTCCAAGGCATCTCCGAGACAGAGTTTTTTTTAATGCTTTGTTTTATACAGCATTTAAAAATGATTTCTTAATAGTTTAAAAATATATAAAATGTTTTTCTCACCAACAGTGTTTGATGGGTGCACTGATACAGTTTTATCCAAAGACTTCTGTCTCTTGTCTCTGTCTTTGTCCCTGCGTCGATGGCAGCGGTGGTGGTGGTGGTGGTGGGCTCTGTCCTGTCCCTGGACTTGTCCTGGCCCTGGGGAAGAATGGGCTTGCCCAACACCTTGTAGGTCAAACTCCTTTAGCCCAACCTCCTGAAGGTGAAGCTGTGGTGTCAGCGAGGATGCGGAGCGTTTAATAGGACTGAGGTCAACAATAGGCTAGAAAAGATAAATGTGGAAAAAGTATGATGAAGTATGATGAAAAAGTGAAACAGACACCTTGAAGGGATGGTTTGATCCCATTTACACGTATTTGATCACAGCACATAAAAGACAGAACCAGCACTTTGCAACCTTTCGAGTAAAGGCCGAGTTTAAGCCTGTTCTTCTCCAAGCACAGATGTTGGTTGATTTGAGATGAACATAAATCTTTTGCACGTCATGAAAACCTACAGCTACAGAACATAATTAATAAATTAAGAGACAACTCTGCTGGTAGAGGATGACGGACAGGGGGTGACACTGGCCTTCACTTTTAATTGATGTTTTTTAAACTCACCACCTCTAACTCTACTGACATAATGTAGTTTGTTATGTTTTTTTGCTTAAGTAGAGCATAATTTTCAATCAAATGTATGAATTATAAGTAATGCAAATAATTCAAACCTTCAAAATAATACACATGAATGATTAAATGTAACTGGAAAGTTTGACTCTTTTAAAACAATTTGTATCACTATTTTTGATTCATAGTCATCAAGACCATCAATAAAGCACGGGAAAAGGGTAAAAATAGATTTTCTAACTAAACAACAAAAAAAAGTTTATAGAAGCTTTTCTTAAGTAATGTAACTCTATTCTGGTCTTTGAATTGCTCCAAGGTTACCTATCTTACTTGCAATTTTCCAGGGAAGAACATCATGGACTAACACTCTTAACAACATAGTTATTTCATCTAATTCAGCTAGTTCATGGGGATACTCAGACACCCACCATGGTATGCTGACTGTAAGGGAGGACAAGCACTTATGAAACCATTTTTCCCTCGGCAAACCACCAGGCTAAGAGTGTACCTTGTTCCCTTTTTACACAAAGACAACTGTTTTTTATTTTTGAGACTAACAGCAACAGCAAAGCTGCAATTTAAAAAATAAATCACTGTTACTTTTTCTGTCCGAAAGAAATAGAAAATATAATGAGACACAATGCAGATGTACATGTGTAAATATATAGTTTTGCAAGTTATAGAATAAACTTACAATTTCCTCAAAAGGCATTTAATCAGACACCCTTTGTCTGCTGGCGAAATCGCTTACTCACAAATAACACATTCAATAAAATGCAATGTGACACATTCTTTTATTCTCATGCATTGTTTTCCCCCAAGGATAAGAACTTGTAAATACTTTTAGGTCAATGACACACACCCCATCAAATTCTTACCTTAATAACGTAACCACCTGAGACCAAACATGTGAGATAGGGAACTGAAACAGCAGTCACCTAACAACACCACAGTGTGGATTCTGTGTAAAATCTCGAAAATGTTATCATTCTAGCAATAAGAAATTGTAATGTAACACACAAAATGTGCGATTTAAACTGGGATTTTAAAAAAATTCATAAGCTTTTTAGTATGTAAAAGATGTGTTAATAGATTTCCTTGGCCCCTGATTAATCTTTTTTTTTTCAGCCGGATTAAGATGGCTGTACTGTTTCTCTTGCTCCTATCTCACAGCCTGGCATTTTGGTACAATGAGAAACAAGAATGTCACAAAACAGCTAAAAAAATAATCGTATCAATCAATTTTATTTAGTATGTAGACTTAAAATCTTATTTTTTAAACAAGTGGCATAACATCTTGATATGCTATGATTCTCCCTATTTCAGTTCACGCCATCGATATTGAATGATGTGAACAAAATTGCCTCTACACATTTCCATACTGCCTTTCAAGACTGAAAGGGATTCTAAAGTGGCAAAAAAATATGAAGGGAGATCAGTCTTACTTGTTTATTTCGTATTTGCATTCAATGTATGAAAAATAAGATTTAAAGACTGAACATCAGAACAAATGACGATAAGGTTAGACAGGTTTTGAGTCAGAAACTGAAAGAAGATATTCTTCTCAAAGCAGAAAAGCAGCAGGACTGTTGCTACATTGAATTACAATACACCACACTCACAAAGTTACGCCACACCACAAGATTATTACATAGCAACAGTTTATCCATACTACCAAAAATGTACCAATGTGTAGTACTGTAGTCCTGTGCCTATGGAACGAGTACTTCCAATACCCTGGAAATGTATACAGATTACATTCCAGGGATGTGAGTGTTTAATAGAGTATGCAAATGTGTATGCTTCAACTATTATGACCATTAGCATTTTCATTAAATGATCACTGTGTACTGCATGGGGTGCTGGGGTCACTTTGTCTATGATGGTGGGAGGGTGTGAACTCTGTGCTGTGATGAGAAAAACACATACACAGGCATGATAGAAAAAGAAGAAAAAAGGGAGAGGACGAGAGGAGGACAGAGAAGAAGATAAATAAAAGTGGCACAACAGGTAGTACATACTGCCAGGTGGGTCCCAGGGGCGTGGCGAGGGTGGCTCCGCTATCAGACGGCACACACAAGAGGAGGTGGACAAAACATTAGCAGTAGCATCAAAATAGGAGAAAGGGGAGACAGTGGTAGAGAGTAGAAAGGAGAGGAGTAGGCTGATGATATTCTTTTTATTTTCATGTTAAAATGTCATTTTTGACACAATAATGTCAGTAATAAGAATTCTTATGCATACTGACCATTTGAGAATTTATTCATTGACAACAAAACAATTAATTTTGCCCGATTCAATTCTTTTGCAGTTAAATCCTGAAAAAACTACAACTAATTTATTTGACTTTCTATTATGGTGCTACCAAAAAACTATAAATTGTACACAAACTGTATCAATCTGCTGGTCAGAGATTCAGATTTGCAGTGTAGAAATTACACTACACCACATTCAATTTCTTAGGTTTAAAAGCACGAGGCCATAACAAAGCATCTGGTTGTTATCGGCACAGTCTATTTTCCACATTACTTGACATAATTGAGGATGAAAATTATTTTTAAAAATAGGTGGTAGGGATTGGGTTCTTGGTTTTGTCTTCCATGTAATTTCTAGGAAAAATGTTGACAGAATTTCTGCAGCCTGGATCTGTAAAGGGGTTAGATAGTAGGAGATCAAAATGCAAAAGAAATATAAGGAAAGCATGTTAAGAGTTGTGGGAAAGTGCAAAATCACTAAAGGGGACAAATAAACTGAGACGAACAGTCCAACACCAAAACTAAACAGACAAGACCTGAGTGGTTGAGCCATCTGGAAACACAGAAATGATGGACAAAAAATACTTCTATTGTAATGTCCACACACTTCAGACAAGAGCAGCTGCTGCAACTTGGAACATAAAATATCGATGCAATCGTAAAAAGTCGTCTGTTTTCATTGTTGATGGATGTGATGAATAAAAGAATAACACTTTTGAATGAAACAAAAACCTTTATGATAATTGTCTCTTTGAGGTAAACCAAATATACGTAAAATCAAAAAAGGTTTTTAACTTATCAGAGCAGTACAAATACAGTAATGAGGATGCATCCTCCATTTTGTTTGTGTGAGGGTACTGCCAGATGTGTTAATGGTTAAAACTATGGCCAGTGTGCTTTGAGTGAGTAATTTACTGTCTCATAGTCATGTTTTAATAAACCAATTTTTTTGGTAACATAATGTGTACATCCTTTTCGATTTTGGGGGTAAATGTGCTCAGTCTACTAGATACATAAGGGCAAGTAACCAATATGACCTTTGGGTTAGCCAAAAGGCACCTTTTCATATCCTTTGACACTGGCAGTGTCATTGTGAGTATTTTCTTCTTTTTGAACGTGGCTTATAATGAGGCATATCAGGTGGAGAATTAGATTACATCAAATTGACTATTCACTTTTAAAGACTACACATCTGACCGTAAATCCGATTGAAGGACACAGGTTTGAAATGTGTACTGTGTATATATAGAACTGACTGAAACATTCCCCAAATTTTGAGATGGTCCTTTAACCCTATAATGCCATGTATCATATATGGTAGATACGGTTTCTGAAATGTTTTGCATCTGAGACCTTTTGCATCATTTGATGATAAAAACTTATCAAACCCTGTTGTATGCCTGCTGTTGTACGCACCTGATAACAGCAGGCAGATGATTACACAATAATTTTGACTTATCGCAAAATAAGAAATTATGAATATATTTGAAATTCAGTTTATTTTTTCCTATCAAGAAAAAATTAATGGGCATGATAGTAGCCGTTCTATCAATTCATCAGTACATTCCGATTATCTTACAATAAAACTCATTCAATACCATACAAGTGGTTGCGCAAGATTATGCCTTCTGTTTGTTTGTTGTTGATAGCGACAATAGCAATTACTGCGTATAATCAAAGCAAAGAAAACACAACATGGTACACTAGTTATACTATTTTTCAGAGTAATTAAACCATAAAAAACTTTCCACATTTTCTATATTAAGTTAATGTTAAGTTTATATAACTTCTACTTTATTTATCCAATGATCGGCTTTATGCCATCTTCTCTGCTTTGCACATTTCTATCCTGAATACACTTTGCGTTGAAACTGAACAGGTCAGGGTCAGTAGACTGAATTGATGTGGACTGACAGAGAGCTGCTCTACCTCTGCTTGCCTACGGGTGGTTTTGCTAACAAATTCTCTTTCAGCTGCCCATCAGCCTTTTTCAGTCCTGTCCAATGTGTCCAACTTCAGCCACTTGCCCTATTAGTCCATCAGAAAACATTTAAGGTATCCGGTGTCTGCATTTTTTTCCCCCAAAAAAGACTGATTCCATCACAAAATTGTTGCACAAAGAAAACGATTGTGCATCTTTTCTTTGAGCAGTAAAACAAGAGGACAGATATAATGAGCTTTGATGAGAGACAAAATGAGCTTTGAAAAACTTACATAGTACTCAGCATTTAATCGGGGCAAAGAGGCTGCTCGGCAATGACTCTCGAGGCTAGGATGTCCCTCTGTGTCTGAAATATTCTCCACCTGCTTTAGTTCAACCATTTCCTGGAATAGAAAAGCAAAGGCAGAGAAACCAAAGTCAAAACATATTAACCATGTTGTAAAATTGAATTAAATATAGATGATAGAGTGTCTGTACGTGTAGTCTTGAGGAATATTGTACATCTTCTGACTGCCCTCTCTGCAGCTTCCTCCGGGCTTTCGGCCTCTGAGCTGCCTGAGAAACATCCCCAGACTGGGAATGTTTTATGACACTTTTCTGGGTCAGTCTGTATATAAACAAGCAAAAAGGTTAACCATATTTTTATAATACCATTAATGCCGCAGCAGGAGCACCTGCTCCAGTGAGCTATTCTATGATAAGGCATTAACAGCCTGGTTCTGCAACTAAACTAATTATCAAATATTATACAATTCCAGCATTTATGTGAAAGCCCCATGTGCAAGGTAATTTTTTATTTTCTAGGCAGGTAGACCTCCACTGGGTTTCATTTTGAACTAATTTTTAATGAGTTACATTTTTTTCATTTTCACTCTCCCAGGGATTTACCTGGAAGCATGACTATGAGATGGCAGCACCATACTATTTTTTTTCCAAAGTGTGTTAGCTGTTTCCCCAGTCAAACAGGAAGTTTATGATGCATGGTTCAAAATGAATATTTTGTACCAGGCATTTCTCAGGTAGTCAACTGCTCACTATGTTTTACTTCTCGTAGAACTTTGTCTTGATCTATGAGGACATATCTGTACTCCAGTGTAGCTGAAATTAAACCATGCATGTGAAACCTCTCAAGAACATTGAATGAGTTAGCCGCCCTGATTATTACTCTATGACTGTTCGTCCTTTAGATAATTGGTATAGCAGGGGGAAATTGTGTGTAGTTTAAGACAAGCAGATATATGGATGGATTAATTAACATATTCATAGATCTCCAGTAATATTGATAAGTTGGAAGATCATGCACCATGCAGCATTAGGAGGGTTTTCAGTCTTGCTCAACTTAGAATCTTTACTGTAGAGGTTCAAACTAATGAACTTATCCTTTTTGGATCAAATCCACATCTTAATTCTTTTTTAGTTGTTTATGTTGATATGACTTACATTGTGTTGGTGTCGAAGGACCTGACGGTAGTGGTGGGTTCTGTTTTTCTTTCAGGCTCAGGCTGGGGTGGAAGAGGTTTCCTTGGGCTAGAAATTGGGGGTGGTACCTCTTGTATATGAGAGAAGGGTAGCATGGGACGGAACAATGCCCCTAATTTACTCTGCAGCACAGAACAACAGCATTCATTATAAACCTGTATGACTTAAAAAAAAAAAGTTAATCAGTTGTTAAAATTCCCATAAACAGTGTCTTATATCCTCTTTCGTACATGTTTGTGACCACTTGATGTTGACACATTTTTCTTTTTACATTTATTTCTTTGTTTTGACCGATTACTTAAAAATCCATGGCACAAATATCTAATAATAGTAAAAAAAAATGTCAACACATGCAGAAATAATGCTAAATGGGGTATGTGTGATGCCCACCCTAACTAGATATCAGGCACCCCATGTACAGAGGCTGAAGTGCCTCGATGCAGCCAGCTTGGGGTCGAGCAAATAATGATAATTAATTTGAGCTGAATATGTCAAAATACACTTCTTCCTCTCTAAGCACTTCATCATTATGGTACAGTGCAGTACCTGAGAAGCTCCAGATGGGTTCTGCTCCTGGAGTTTCTTTGCACGATTCTGCTTGTAGTAATCAAATATCATATGAGCCGCATAGATCTTCCCTACAGTCAGCTCATTATCTAAAGGACGACAAAGTAGTGTGAGAGACATACCTTCACATAGACAGTAGATGGTGCTGCATGAGCAACAAAGAACACCTCAGAGTGGGAGAAATGAACTGATTGGGTGGATCACCTTGAGAATCATATTGAATTACAATTGCATTACAGTCATGAAGCCATTAATTTCAGTTTTAAAGCTTTCCTACAGTTAGAATCTAAATATATGTATATACTTTTCCAGTGAGTAAATAGTGTAATGCACAAGAAAGAGCCAACAGAAAGCAAATTGAGGTTGGAAACCATTACAGCCAAATTCAATTGTGGCTTACATTTGTGAGGCGTCACCAGCAGGTCAACGGTTTTTAACGTCAGGTTAGGCCAAACTCGGTTAATTTCTCTTCTCAGGTCAGCATCACACAAACGCTGTGCCAGGACGCCTGGGAAACAACCCACAAACATGCCATATCAAATCTGTACAAGAGCCGTCTGTGTCATTCACATTTACGTCAAAGCCATCAATGTTGTCACAAGGAAATCTTGATTTTGTAGTTTGTTGTTTCTCACCAGATGCCAGTTTGATCTCCAAGGCTGTGCGAATCAGGGCCATCAATGTGGAGGTGAAATTAACGGTGTTGTCATCCGCAATAGGCATGTTCATTTTTACCAGTCGCTAGAGAAATGGAAGCAAGAAAGGAGGAACTATGAATGAGAAACAACAAGAAAAGAAACAGTCCAGACTAAAGATGTAGCTTTTTGTTAAAAGAAAGAATGGGGAATCTGAAACTAATTTGAGTGATTCGCAATACGGCAAATTAATCTTGACTTTCTGTGACAGATTCTGTTTACAGATTCTTCACCTTGACTGACTTGAAATGAACTATTACATGTAAAATGTTCTTACTGTCATAAAATCTACGGACGCATGCTAGTGCATCAAATACTTGTTATCTGATTTTATGTCAATTATCATTCTGCACAGTGTTTTAATGAATAACAAAATGGTCACACGGATAAAAAAAGAAAAGAACTGCAGAATAACACACATTCCTTCTCATGGAGAAGATTTATCATTTACACGATGACACAGGGGGTTGAAAGAAAAGCTTCTTCTACTGTATTTGTGTCTGTTTTTAGTAAATGTTATTTAGACTTAAAAAATATATATGAGACAACTTCCCAGCACACATCTAATAAGATCCAATCACTGACAAACTAATCATACTCAAAACTGTGTGAGCTCTGTAAATGCTCTGTAAGAGTCACCACTGCAACTGGGGATATCCCTCATACTCCTCCTCTACTATAGAAAGATATTTCATTTTCAAATGGGTTTTGAAAATCCTTTTTTAGAAATTTGTATAGCTTGTAGCCTCTCAAATGTGGGGACCTGTCGCAGCCTTTCTATTGTTACATACACCGAAAATTAATCTCACTTCAAATTGTATTATTAGATGGCCAAAACAAGCACTTCATAAAGTCCCCTTGAGTTTTTCAATATTTTCTAATAACTAACAAGAGCTTTTAACATCCTTACACAAAATAGTGCAACTATTTTACAGCATTTTGTAATTACAGTAATGTGGTCAGATTAATGTTCATGCATGCAAAGCTTCACGAGCAAAGCTACATTGCAGTGATTCCTGCACACATGCATGTTAGAATTATTACGCAAAATTCAAAATGACGTAATATATTTTAGTGACATGGTTCAAAATCAATAAACAAAGAAAATAAACAAGCAAATACTTGAATAAAGAAACAAATGAATAAACAAAACCTGTAGTTTGATATTCCTACTTATTTCAAGCCAAGTGGATGCCAATGGATAAAGCAGAACAAAATAAATTCTTTTTGGCAGTGTAACGCCATTGACAAAGACACTGCACTTAAGATCATCTACAAGTGTAGTCTTGCATTTAATTAATTAACCAATTAATTATGGGTAATTAATTGTTAATGAACTAATTAATAACTCTAAAAAAGGGGACATGCACAACTTAAACAAAATGCTTGCAGAAAAAAAAAAATCACAACCAATTCATACAGAATAAAAAAGAATGAAACAAATCCAAAAAGAGGGTAAAAGAAAAAAAGCAAGGTTCTTCATGATGATGGAGAGTAAAAAGAAGAGACTAGGATTGGAATCCAATTCCTTCTGTGACAGGAGACTTTAAATCATTAAGTGTTTAGGCTAGTTAACAGAGAGCATGATTAATGCCAAAGTTGTAGACGGGAGCTAGACAAATTGGAATAGGGAAAATAAAATGCCAGCCTAGCTCTCAAATGCACTGCTTTTCTCTCTGCATCTTTGTTTGTGTCTTTCCCTGTCGATTCACAATAACAAGAGTTATATTTGGAGATGTGACCACGTCAGACCCAAGCATTTTTATCTGGGGCAAGGGCAGGGCTGCTTTAAATGTGATTCATTCGGACAGCTGTGCAAACTGGAACCACTCACATTAAGTCTGTAAGTTGAGGTAAGCAGCTGACACAAAGACTACCTGAGGATTGTTGAGCTGTGCACTTGACCTCCATTTCACAATACTTTCATGTAATCATAAAATACATGGGTCGATCCGTCAACAAATCTGGTATCTGTTGCCATTTAAGGTAGACTAAAGACTGACAAAAAGCACTGCAAAAAATACGCAAAATGTCTAGATCTATATATATTATAATATCTATAACATAAAAATCCATGTCCTCACATTTCATCTACTTAATGGAGAGATTTTTTCTTTTATATAATGAGCCAAGCCTCATCTCCACTTTTTAATGCATGATTAAGCCCTTTACTTTTGCTTTTCCTCAAAAGGCTTTAATTTTCCTGTTTGAGGACTTATTAGTAGTAAGTTGTGCTTATGTGTGTGAGCATAGTAACAATTGTAAATCTATAAAAACTGAAAATAATCTACATTTACCAGTCCACAGTCTACATCAGAAGGTTAGAGGGGTTATAGGGGCATAAGTCATATAACTATGTGGAGCCAGTGATTACATGTTCCTCTTCCTTAATCAGGTACATACCGTATATTTGTTTTTTAATTCAGTGTTTTTAAATTCTAGTCAGCAAGAACAAAATGTATTACTACTTTTCTGCTTAGAAGAGCAACATCCGACTGGTGTAAGAATAAGCAAAAACAAAACTCAGAACTTTGTATAAATACATAAAAAACATAATTTTCTTTTAATAATGTGAAAAGTGATCACTGCCTCAATGTAAACTCCATAAAAAGAAAATGTAAAAGAAAGGCTTGAATGCATCAGTTCAGTGCAGAACCACGTCACATTGTTTCACACATCACATCACAATCATCACAAAAACAAGCCAGAAGTTGTTGACTGCATCACACTGGAAAAAAGCCTGAAGATATTTGGCAGATGGAAGCAAGGGACTAGCAATGACTAGGGAAGGGAGAGGAAAAGAGAAAGGAGTGATTCTACCTTATAGGCGACTCGTGGTGGGCATTTCTTTCCCAAACCTAGTGGAGGTGACATGTCGCGAAGCATCTCGTACATGTCACGGTAAACCATGCGGCCACTACCAGGAAAAAGGATGTCATGGAAGGAGGGATGACGGATTTTACATCATAACAGGAAATGGCAAAATCCAAAACAGAGAATGGAAAGGGAGAAGGTAGGAGGAAAAGACAGAAATCTTTGTTAATAAGATTTCCAGGATATCATGATCTGGAATGCCATTGCAGTTTAATTAACAAATCAGGAAATGGATTCCAGAGTAGAGAGCATGGACAAGGGCTCCAGATAATGCCCTGGACACAGATGTTGGATGGGAGGAACCTGGAGGAAGATATGCATTTGACAGAGTGATTTTTATTTAAAAGAATATTTAACCACATATCAGTATTTTGAGTGACATTTATTACATGTATGCTTGAAAGATGACAATGTAAAACTTGAACCGTGTAATCAAACCTGCAACAATTTTAATAGTGATTAAAGCAGTAGATGTTGAGCCGTATGGATTAAACAAACTAACACTTTAAGCAGGCATTCCTTGACATTTATCAATGTACTCTTTCTATCATTCTATTTTAGAACTATGTTTATTTGAATCCACTTATTCAAGCTCTTCAGATTCACCTTTCAAGGTACTTTGCATTCATGACTCAAAATCTAGACTTTCAGTGAGAGTATTCCTCAACCCCAGTATCTGCATGCTAGGAGACTTTAGCAGAAACCAAAGAGGAAACAAACACACAATGCTCTCTTCACTACTCCTTGTTTACTACTTTTTCTTCTGTGCCAGTTGGTTAGTGGAGGATCAGTGAACATTTGTGTGCATGTGTGGCCAAGACATTCTTTGACGCTGCAGGGAATGAGTATGAACATTCACAGTTCAACACCATCACAGTCACTTTGAAAACAGAGGGACTGTGTGGAAGTGCAAACCTTATAAGCCACCCTGTTGGGGCACTTCTTCCCAAGGCCCAGGGGAGGTGAGATAAAACGCAATAATTTGTACATATCCCGATAGCATATTCTCCCACTGAAAAAGATGAGACATGTTAAAGAGGTTAGATCATAGTGAGGGTAACTGCATCTTTCCAATTTTGTCTTATATTTCTTCAGAACATTAACAGTTACATGCAATAACCAGTCATAATATTACGACTATTATGACCAGAAGAGAAGAGTAAAAATATTGATTGTCTCGTACATTAGAAACTAGTGTAAACTAGTGGGATATTAGGCAGTGGCCAAACTTTTAATGCCAAGACAAGTAGGTCATATCATTTTAACAACTGCAGGTCATGTGGGATGTTTAAATTCTGAAAGATGAAACCTGATTAATAAAAAAGGGACACAGTTGAAAGCAGTGTGGTGGATACGAAACAGGGAAGATAGGACCTGTAATCTAGTCCCAGTTTACTGGGGTTATTTCCTGAAAAACATAATTGTAACTTATACAGACAACAACAGAACACTGTAATATGTTACTTATGGGGCTGTAAACTGGCGAGCGTATCAGTATTAATCTGTGTCCAGCACTGAAGGAACCTTCACTGGACCTGTGGGCGTGAAAACTGGAGCACTGAACAGTGAAAGAAGCTGGTCTGTACTATTCACGTTGTGTTAATGGAGGTTTTCTGTGATACTTACCTAGAGAAGACAAGATACAAAGGTGCATCATGGGGTGAATGTAAATCAGCTGGGTCATATTTGCAATGTGAACAATGTTCTTCTGGGAAATTTTCGGGCCATTCATGTGGATGATATTTTTGAATGCCGGCTTCTCTTAACATAACTACACCTCAAAAGCAGCCATTAGTGCGAAGGACTGTCAGTGAGCTCCTTTAGCAGTAGAAAGCATCCTACTACACTGATTTAAAAAAATATAATATTCAAGCACAATAAGCTTCTAAAATTTTGGTTTGTTCTTAAAGGAAATGAACAGAGATTAAATGAACAGTATGGTACCAGATACCACCGAATTCCCTCTTAACTTAATCAGGTTAAGACTGTTTGATGTGATTAGACAGATTTTCATAATGTTATGGCTGAGCCAGTAACAAAAAAATGACGCCATACTTGAAACTCTTCATGTAAGCCTTTGAGTCTTATTTCCAGTTTTGCTAGACAAGATTTATTATCTTCTAATATGTTTTATCAAGGCCATATTTTGTGTCCCGAAGATGAAGATCTAATTGAAGTTATACATTCAAAACAGAAAAAATATACTTTTTTTGTTTTTCAGTTTGTTTAGACCACCAAACAGTATTTTCTGAAATGTAAACATAGCCATAAATCCAGAAAATTAACATTAACATTTCAACTATTATCGTATTTTTCTTTTTCCAGGACATGACAACCTCTGTATGAACTGAATTGTTTGTTTGATAGTGAGAAACCCAATAATATCTGAAATCAGCTAGCTTTAAAAGCCCTTTTAATAGAATAAGTTAAAGCAATTTTTTAAAAAGGATGAATGTTACTAGAGGCATTTTCGAGAGGACCTCATTTACAGTGGGTACGGAAAGTATTTAGACCCCTTTAAATTTTTCACTCTTTGTTTCATTGCAGCCATTTGCTAAAAGTCCACTGTATTTCTAATTAATGTACACTCCATCTTGACAGAAAAAAACAAAATGTAGAAAAAAAAACTGAAATATCACATCGTCATAATAGCGTTGGTGGACAGCCATTTTCAGGTCTCCAGAGATTCTCAATTGGTTTTAGGTCAGGGCTCTGGCTGGGCCAGTCAAGAATAGTAACAGAGTTGTTCCCAAGCCACCCCTTTGTTATTTTAGCTGTTTGCTTAGGGTCATTGTCTTGTTGGAAGGTGAACCTTCTGCCCAGTCTGAGATCCTGAGCACTCTGGAGGTTTTTTTTTCCAGGATACCCTTGTACTTGGCCGCATTCATCTTACCTTCAATTGCAACCAGTCGTCCTGTCCCTGCGGATGAAAAACACCCCCATAGTATGATGCTTTCACCACCATGTTTCTCTGCTGGGATTGTATTGAGCAGGTGATGAGCAGTGCCTTGTTTTCTCCACACATAACGCTTAGAATTAACGGCAAAAAGTTCAATCTTGGTCACATCAGACCAGAGAATCTTCTTTCTCATAGTCTGAGAGTGCTTCATGTGTTTTTTTGGCAAACTCTATACGGGCTTTCATATGTCTTGCAATGAGGACAGGCTTCCATCGGGCCACTCTGCCATAAAGCCCCGACTGGTGGAGGGCTGCAGCGATAGTTGACTTTGTGAAACTTTCTCACATCTCCCTACTGTATCTCTGGAGCTCAGTCACAATGATCTTTGGGCTCTCACCAAGGCTCTTCTCCCACAATTGTTCAGTTTGGCTGGATGGCCAGGTCTAGGAAGAGTTCTGGTTGTCCCAAAATTCCTCCATTTAAGGATTATGGAGGCTACTGTGCTCTTAGAAACCTTGAGTGCTGCAGAAATTCTTCTGTAACCTTGGTCAGATGTGTGCCTAATACAAGCTAATACAATTCTGCCTATGAGCTCCTTGGGCAGTTCCTTGGACCTCACGTTTCTCTTTTGCTCTGACATGCACTGTGGGCTGTAAGGTCAGGTGTGTAGACAGGTGTGTGCCTTTCCTAATAAAGTCCAATCAGTTTATTTAAACACAGCTGGACTCCAATGAAGGAGCAGAACCATCTCAGGAGGGATCACATGAAATGGACAGCATGTGAGTTAAGTTTGAGTGTCACAGCAAAGAGTCTGAATACTTATGCTCATTTGATATTTCAGTTTTTCTTCTTTTAATAAATTTGCAAACATTTCTACGTTTCTGTTTTTTTCTGTCAAGATGGGGTGCTGAGTGTATATTAATGACAAATTAAATTAACTTTTTTGTTATTTTAAAAAATTGCTGCAATGAAACAAAGAGTGGAAAATTTAAAGAGGTCTGAATACTCCATATACACACTGTATATCCAAAGGAATCATATGAATTCTTCACCCATAATGTTTTTCAGGTGATCACAATTTCATTCTCTGGACTTTATGCAACGACTGGAATCCCGACTGACTGACAAAACTCCTGCGAAGCATTCGTCGTAACTTAATGAGTCTTACATAACAAAAAACAGTTTTGTACTTTTGTCAAGGTAACAGTGTCATGTGGGTGTAAAGGGCAGTAAATATGCTGCCATCAACCTGCTGTCACGTATTAGAGGGATAGAAATAGTTCCTTTTCACAACCCCGTGACAGACCTTGGAGCGGCGAGCATTACACTCGATTTAAATGTGTCAGTCCAGCCAACTGTGGGGATGGCCAACAGCCTCCACTGACACAGGGCACAGGATTAATGCCATTTACCAATCGTTGCTAAGATGCATCATACCAGAATGCAGACGTAAGCCTGAGTGTTTATTCTTTACTGTTTTACCCTTTCTTTTGAAACCTCCTCTGTAATACCAACACTGTCAAATACAAGGGAGTGAAATGGAGTTATTCAAGACAGCGGAGACACCTACCAGGCAGCAGGGTCATACTCTGCCCAAACACGAATGAATTCATCAAGGTGGTGTGGCCCAAGGATAGAAGCATCCCTGGTCAGGTACTCAAAGTTGTCCATTATGACAGCAACAAAGAGATTTAACATCTAGGGAGATAAATAATATTCTGATTAATCTTTAACATTTCTAGGAATCAAATTATATAATACAGATTTTGTTATCTGGGCAGCTCTGTTTAAAAGACCAAATGAGTGACTTTATATGTGCTTGCTTATGACTAAACAAGATATCTAAAAGGTAAGGACCATAACTAAATTTAAAATGACACCTTTATTTTCTATAGCAGCATTGACTGCATCATACTCAAAGTGTGTTCCACCTAACATTTGACAGCAAAAATGTGAAAAGCCATCAAACCTCAAATTCATCCAATCAACACATTAGTGAGACCAGATGAAGGGGTCCCTGACCTCAAGTAGATTCTTACCAGAAAAGAGCAGAGGAAGATGAATGACACAAAGTAAAAGTATGCAAAATCACTGCCACATTCCGGTCCTTTAGTTCCTGAGAGCTCGTCACATTGGCGGTTACTGAGGCAAGAGAGCATGATCTCATGCCAAGCCTCACCTGTTGCGCTCCTGAAATAAATAAAAAAAATAAAAATCAGCAGGTTTTGTCATTTTATTTGAATAGAAGCCAGAGCTTTCAGAATATGAAAATAGGTTACCTGAACAGAAGGGTCAATGCCTGGAAAAAGGTCTGGAAGTTGTTGTGGTGATTTATGGCAGTATCTTCATTTAATTCAATGTTACCAAACACCTGAAGAGATCAAGAGAGCATAGTGTGACCATACTGGTCATGGGTAGCGTATTCTTACTTAATTCTATTTATTGTAAAGCTAGATTTTATAGACAAGTTGTCTTTTTGTTTTAGTTGGATATCCTTTTTTAGTTTAACAGCTACTTCATTACAGTATGATGACATATTGTTAAAAGTAGATTCAATAGTATCCAAGTAACTAAAGTGTGTTGTATTTAGTTACTTATGTTAGCTGTAGTTTATTTTTTACTCTTGGTGTGTATCACTTTCCCACTTTGTGTTTTAACCGTTGCATAACAGAGATAAATAAAGCCTCTTGAATCTGAAATCTTTTACAAGATATTTCAGCTTTTGGGTGTGACCAGGTTTTCATTACAACACTACATAAAGACACCTCTAGCTCCCTATGTTGATTACAAGGTATAGAGTAAATTCATACCTGCCTGAACTTGTTGCTATTGTAAATATTTCAACAAATCCTTCTCCATTTAGGTTGTAAGTGCATGAGATAATTCATTAGAGAAAGAAGCTGGTTAGCTGTGATTGTCCAACTGTGTCAAATAAAACAGCTTCAAAGCCCTTTCTAAATGATTTATCCCAGCATGGCCATCTTGCTGATCTGTAAATACCAGATACTGTTTCAAAGAGGCTCCTGACTGTAGTGAAATGTGTATGTAGCATGCCTATATTTTACGGGAATAACCGTCTGCCTTTGTTTTTACCACATATTTTTTGTAAATGCAGTTCATGGGATTAAGAAATGTGAGGTAATGCGTTAAGTATTCTTTAAAAGCTGCAAAATAATCTGCTCTAACTAGACAATCCAATATAAAAGGTAGAAGTCCTCCAAAATAGCCCTGGGATGAACTGGCAGACCCTCCAGGGTGTACCCCACCTTTCTCCCTTTGACCAGTGAGATAGGATCCAGTTCCCCCGGCGACCCCATTAGGGAATTAATGGTTACGATAATGGATGGATGAATAATGGATGGATTGATGAAACCCTCCAAAATAGTTTGGTGCTTCGACTTTTTAACATAAGAATGTGAATTAGGCTGTATCTGTTGGAAGCTGATATTTTTGGTGCTGCTCTCACAGTAGAAACAAATATACAAACTGAAAGCCGACAAATATTTTAACAAATCTTGATAGAATCTCTCATATAGGTCCCTATAACAATATTTATTATATAAGTATTGTTATTTTTCAAAACATTAACACACACCTCATAACTTTAAATGGCAAAATCCCTTAATAAATGTTAGACTTATTGACTGGCTTTGTGCTCTATTACTTCAAATCTGCTAATAGCACCCTGCAAACTATTCCCAGGGCAGAGCTTGTGTTAAATAGGCAGCAGACCTTTCCATTAGAGCACCGTTGTATGGTATCTGTCTGCCCACTGTACTCAGACACGTTGAACCACTTGCTATCTTAAAACCCCTTCTTAAAGTAACTTTTTTTTTAAACCTTCTGCAAAATCCGTCATATTAGTGTGGTCTTGTAATCCTACTTCTTACCCAATGCTCTTTAACCTAATGTTACAAAGTCTCTATAAAGCACTTAGAAATCTTGTTAAGGGTTATATGTGTGGTAAAATACTCTATCCTCTGAGATTGTTAGAGGATTTTCATGGGTGTTAGAAGTCACAATAATCAAATAAAAAAAGCAACCTGAAGCTAAAAATGTGACATATATATTCAGCTAAATTATCTAATTTTGCATTAAGACTATGTTCTCACTGTCTCCATCTGGCTGCAACTTCAACTGCAACTTGTGATCTTCTTAAGAACAAGGAAAGTAAAACTCAGTTTAAAATATGAGATCGGCAACTAACATGAGATATATACAACTAATTTCAAACAACGTGACAGTCCAGTTAGTTTTTACTACTTACCTGCATCCCAATGATGGCGTAGATGAAGAACAACATGGCAATAAGCAGGCACACATATGGCAGAGCCTGAAAACAAAGAGAAACTCAGTTTAAAAACGTTCTTAATACAAACATGGTATAAAGACACTTTTCTTTTTCTGAACACCAATACACAGAGCACAGAGTCTCTTTAATCTTTTCCTTCAGTTCTGTGCCAAATGATTCTCCACTGAGGATGACAACACTTGTAAGACTTTAAAGAACCTGAGCAGCAAACTTGACCAGCAAGGCAGATTTCGTTATAACTATTTATAACGCTGTATGAGTAGGCAAGTTTTTGTTGTAATTAAATAGCCATCTTTTTACACTATGTAGCAACTGTCCATTTTGACTGGGTTTAAAAGCTTTCACCATTAAACCAGCTATAAATTCCCTAAGCAGCAGCCCCAGTTCCCCACATGTAATTCAACTTGTCCTGAGGGATTTAGAGTGCAAATTGGAACTGTGTGAAAACTCAAGTATTCAAAAGCTATTTAGCTGGATTCTAACAGCAACTGAGCGATTTTGCTGTTTGCCTCAGTTTTTTTAGCTTCTATTTCACTAACTGTAGGCTTCTGAATTACTAGTATCCTAACATAAGGTACCTTGTTTGCTTTATTTTCTTGAAAAATATATTCTCAACAATGATTTACCCACTCATTATAATGTAACTTTCTTTCAAACCAAACTATAAAAGGTGTGTTTTGTAAGATATGGTCACTGTGAATTTTTCTCACCTTGAAGGACTGAACGAAGGTCCACAGAAGAATACGGATAGTGTACCCCTGTCGCAACAGCTTAATGAGACGAGCCGCTCTGAACAGCCTTAAGACGCTCAGGTTTATCATCTTGTTCTGAGATCAAAACATGTTAAGCCTGTGAGTTACTACACACCATGTTAACACTTTTTTGTTTAAACATGTGGTTTATAGGAAGATGTTCAGCATTTGTACATTGTAATCATTGTAATCAAGAGGCAACACAAATTAGCCAATCCCAAAATGTCTGTGAAATTCCAACACTTCATTGTGACTGAATATTTACATCAGCTCAAACACTCATTCTATGCCGTTTAGCAGTTCTTCAAAATAATCGCATATTGACAATTCAGTTGATATTAAGCCAATGGGGCAGACAAAAACATGCACAATGAGAAGGGAAGTAGAAAAAAACAGCAGCCAACAAGAGAAGCCACTTACCGTCTAGAGGTGTCAGATGTGACAGAGGAGGCAGAGTGAGGGCACAGGCACAAGGATAGAGACAGCAGAAGATTGAAAAACAGCAAAACAGAAGACAGAACAACAAGAAAAGAAACAGGGTAGAAGACTAATGATCTCAAAAAAGAAAACACTGCGACTGACTTTGCCACCACAAAGAAAGCATCAGCAACCTGCATCGGCCTCAGTGTCCAAAATCATACAATAAATGTTTTATTTTTTATTAGTTTTATCGTTATATGAATCTTTAATCTGCTGTACATCAAAAGGAGAGACTAAATATTCAGGACTCTGACAGCAGCAAGACATTTCTTTTTGTTCTGCAGCTGCCTTTGTTTTATAGTCTGATTTTTTTTGCATTATCTTGACAGAAATTGTAATTTGAGGACTGAGACTAGGAGAAAAGCAAAGCATGACTACAACATCGGAGACTCTAAAGCTGAAAAAAGATCGTATTAAAATTAATTGCTTTATAGTCTGATTTTTTTTGCATTATCTTGACAGAAATTGTGATTTGAGGACTGAGACTAGGAGAAAAGCAAAGCATGACTACAACATCGGAGACTCTAAAGCTGAAAAAAGATCGTATTAAAATTAAAATAAGTGCATGTCAGTGTTTAGATAATAAAACAGTAGGTGAAATGATATCTGTTACAGTGGGTACGGAAAGTATTCAGATCCCTTTAAAATGTTCACTCTTTGTTTCATTGCAGCCTTTTGCTAAAAGTGAATTTTCTCATTAATGCACACTCAGCAACCCAATATTGACAGAAAAAAACTAAAATGTAGAAATTTTTGCAAATTTATTAAAAAAGAAAAGCCATTTTAAGGTCTCTCCAGTGATGCTCAATTGGGTTTAGGTCAGGGCTCTGGCTGGGCCAGTCAAGAATGGTCACAGAGTTGTTCCCAAGCCACCCCTTTGTTATTTTAGCTGTGTGCTTAGGGTCATTGTCTTGTTGTGAGCACTCTGGAAGAATTTTTTTTCCAGGATACCTCTGTACTTGGCCGCATTCATCTTACCTTCAATTGCAACCAGTCGTACTGTCCCTGCAGCTGAAAAACACCCCCATAGCATGATGCTTTCACCACCATGTTTCTCTTCTGGGATTGTATTGAGCAGGTGATAAGCAGTGCCTTGTTTTCTACACACATACCGCTCATATGTCTTGCAATGAGGAGAGGCTTCCATCGGGCCACTCTGCCATAAAGCCTCGACTGGTGGAGGGCTGCAATGAAAGTTGACTTTGTGGAACTTTCTCACATCTCCCTACTGTATCTCTGGAGCTCAGTCACAGTGATCTTTGGGTTGTTCTTTACCTCTCCCACCAAGGCTCTTTTCCCACAATTGCTCAGTTTGGCTGGACGGCCAGGTGTAGGAAGAGTTCTGGTTGTCCCAAAATTCTACCATTTAAGGATTATGGAGGCCACTGTGCTCTTAGAAACCTTGAGGGCCCGGGGGGGGGCTGGTTTGCCGTCGCTCGGGGTGCCTGGGGGGCCTCTGCCCTACGGTGGTGGGGGCTCCACTGGGGGGCTTTCCTGGCCTCCTTCTGGGTTGGTGCCCGGTCGTCCCTGTGGTCATCCTTCCGGGATCTGTGCTCGGGGGGCTGCTGGGGGACCGGGTCTGGGGGCACTCTCTGCCCTCTTCCGAGCGCTGGAGGGGGGGGCTTCGGCTGGTGGCCCCTCTGCACTATAACTAAACACAATCGGGTAAACCTGGGCTGAGGGTTCTCACTTTCTCGCACACAAACACACTCACACAGTCAGTTACCCAGATACACGCCGTCTTAGGCTTCCGTACAGTTGCTGCACAATTCTGAGAAGTTCATTAATGCCCTGCTACCAGTGTTGTTGCTTTCGTTGCTTGTTTGTTTTTTCTCTCTACCCTGCGCCCTTTTGCAGGAGCTCCTACAGGTGTTCCGCTCGGATTGCCCACAAGGAACTGTGTCCGGCTACCAGTGTTGCTTGTTTGTTCTTTTGTCTCCCTTGTGCCCTTTTGCAGGAGCTCCAACAGGTTCTCCACTTGGATTGCCCCCAAGGAACTGTGTCCGGCTACCAGTGTTGCTTGTTTGTTCTTTTGTCTTCCCTGTGCCCTTTTGCAGGTGCTGCTACAGGTTCTCCACTCGGATTGCCCACAAGGAACAGTGTCCTTTTTGCAGACATAACAGCTGGTCATATGGTCTTGTTGTCTTTCTTTCTTCTTCTTTTTTTTTTCATTTTTAAATTTTTTGTTCTCTCTCCCCCCTCTCTCTCTCTCTCTAAAGGATCTCTCTCCTTTCCACTACCCTTCCCTCCCCCCTTTCCCTCTGTCAAGTTCGGTATTATTGGACATACGGAAGTTTGGTAACAAAAATGAATAAATAAAGAAGTTTTGGGTAATCAAGGGGGGCTTCTAACTAACAAAGCCTCCCTTGGCAAAGCAATTTTGCTCAGCATTGCACGGTACGCAGATGTCAGTTCTACTACCATAATGCTGAACAGGACAAGGGGAAAAAAAAAAAAAAAAAAAAAAAAAGAAACCTTGAGTGCTGCAGAAATTCTTTTGTAACCTTAGCCAGATCTGTACCTTGCCACAATTTTGCCTCTTAGCTCCTCGGGCAGTTCCTTCAACCTCATGATTCCCGTTTGCTCTGACATGCATTGCAGGCTATAAGGTCTTGTATAGACAGGTGTGTGCCCTTCCTAATCAAGTCCAGTCAGTTTATTTAAACACAGCCTGACTCCATTGAAGGAGCATAACCATCTCAAGGAGGATTAGAAGAAATGGACTGCATGTGAGTTAAATATGAGTGTCACAGCAAAGGGTCTGAATACTTATGATCATTTAATATTTCTGTTTTTCTTTTTTAATAAATTTGCAAACATTTCTACATTTCAGTTTTTTCTGTCAAGATGGGGTGCTGAGTGTATGTTAATGAGAAATAAAATGAACTTTTTGGTTATTTTAGCAAATGGCTGCAATGAAACAAAGTGAAAAATGTAAAGGGGTCTGAACACTTTCCGTACCCACTGTATGTTCATATTTCTTTTAATGATTTCCCTGGGGAAAGAAAACACTGAAGATCTGCACCCAACATACACGTTTATCTCTTACATTTATCTCTGTGACCAAGATGTCTGTGATGCTTCCAATCACAGTAACAAAGTCAAACACATTCCAGGGTTCTTTCAGGTAGTTCTGAAAGAGAAAAGCCAAAAATAATTAATTGAACTTTTATCTGTTTTATCCAATTCAACATATTCTCATATACATTATCCATGTATAATTATGTCTAACATAATTGGCAATAAATACCAAAAATGGTGTGTCAGTTTGAAAGTAAAATGACTGTTATTGTATTATTTCTGCTTCAGTCAAGTCTGGAATTGAGGTCCAGTTTTTAACTTAACATGTTTTAGAATTGTACACAAACGCTCGAAAAAATTGAAAACATAAACAAACATGTATATTGTGGAAAACAAGTGCAAATATAAAGCATGCACACACATGCTAACAGAATCTGCTACATTAATCATGAGCTGCACCCACATCACATTAAGACTGGTCAATCATCCATTTCCTGAGGTCGGAGCCTGCTGCCACTGATGGGCTACAGCAGCAGAGCGTTTATAAAAGCAGATGTGAGCTTAACTCCTAAACAGGTGGAGTTAAGTGGTGTGTGAGAAAAGCTATTTATTAAATGGGGCTTGTAAATGGAACAGAACCACAGATGAAATGCCTCGCTGCAGAGCAGACGGCTCCATGTTGGGAAAAGATTTATTCTCCTTGCGGAGTTCTCTGTTTATCCCCTCTGTTCTTTCCTGACTTTGAAATCATTCATACTTCTCAGCTTCCTTTATTCATTTAATTAAAAAAGAAGTGAATACCTTTGGTTTTATTTGATTCAATAAGGATCCAAGACGTTAACCATAAATATCTTTTAAATCAGTGAGATCCATGAGCCAGCATTTGTTTAAAGAACAAATGTTTATGAAGGAGCGAAATCCATAAGCCAAATGGAATAGAGCACAAATGCTTTTCTTACTTTATATTGTAAATATTAATCATTGTTCTTTTGTTTGCCTAGTAAGAGCCTTTTATATCCACATAAAGCAGCCATAATAGATTTTCACTTGGAGAAAATCTGTCACACCTTTTTAACATGCCAGTATCAGCTACCATAGGTTTATTCTTTTTTATATGCTTGGAAAGAGAGGGGACTCCTTTTAGATTTAAAAGAACAATTACACTTCTTAAAACAAATGATTTATTACCATTGTTGGGACTTATCTATTGTGGATAAAGACACTAGAAGATTGAAGGACAATTTATAGCAGAGCACCTAGTGTAAACAGCTCACCAGTGGATTGAAGGCAATAATCTTGAGGATGCACTCAAGCGTGAAGAGGCCTGTGAAGACGATGTTTAAGTATTTCAGCATCGACTCATACAGGTCTGGAGCTCCATAGAACTGAGGACAGAGAGGAAGACTTTTCACATGACTGGTTACAGATCACAAAGCATCTGAATGAAATACTGAGAAATTAGGAAAATAACCACAGGGAACCACTACACACACCACAGAAGGCTTATTCAACCAGTAGAAGTGGATATATCATTTTTCTCCTGTTGATCACAATTTTGTTTTTTTTAATCCTCATATATCTCCCATATAATCTTACCATAATGTGCTTTCTTTAGTGTGATGTCAACTTCAGCCATCAAGAAAGCAACTTATTAGTTATTATAATATAAACAGAAAGGCTCAAGAACAAAAAAAGTTGTAGGTTTTTGTTTAATATGTATTGTATTGCAAAAATGCACCAAAAAAGGTTTTTCTTGATAATGAAAAAAAAACTTTTTTTCGTGGTATACATCTTGGTGACCTAAACAGGTTGTTTCTGACCTTTAAGGATTAAGTATTCCGATTAGAAAATGCAGTGGTGTAGTGGTAACTGGAGAAGTCTCACACTCCCATAGCCTGAAGCTTTGCAACACAGTGCATCTTTTGTAAGCATGCTGTCTGGCCCAAATTTGCTGCAGGGGCTTTTCACTAAATAGTTTTGTCATAATGTGTAATAAAACACATTGGAACATTGCGAATGTGCAATGGTAATTTATCTAAATACAGCAAGAACTCAACCTGCTGTTTTTAATAAACTGAACCTTTGAGTAAGGCACCTCACATAAAGTACTTCACAAGTAATAAAAAACAACAAACACATTGAGATTGACAATTTGACACATGGTTGGATAAACAGTAGCTATGAACCCTTATTAAAGATACTGTTGTTAAACTTCAGAAGTATATGAGCACCATTTCTTTGCTTTTGAATAGGCTCCCAATTTTTCATCTTGTTAGTACCACCTTTGAAAACTTCACACATCAGCTCAGCGGTAAGAAACAACTGTAACCATTATAGGCAAAACTTGGAACAAGTTAAGGCAAGACAAGACAAAAATGTTATAGCTAATAGGCCACTGTTTTAATTCAATATTAAAATGCTTGATCTTTAGTATCTTCAGTGCATAGGTTTTATATGTTCTATGTGAATAAAACATAGGTTAAGGAAAATCATTCTGCAAACCATTGCAGTCTGTTTTGATTTATATTTTACAGAGCATACTGTATATTCAATCCTTTCAAACCTTAATCTTAATTTTGTAACTTCTTGTTTTCAACCAAACTAAATATGTTTTATATTTAAAGTGAAATTGTAATTAGATATGGTACAAGACAAGTGATTTTTTGAGTGAAATTTGCAGTATTTCAAAGTATGTTTTAAATATCTTTCCTTTCTGCTTCCTCCAGATTGCTGGAGTGGGGCCAGTGGTGGCGCCCCCTATGCATGCATAGCTGAGCACAATCTGTGTGAAACCTGGGTTGTGTGTTCTGCACGTCTGTGCTTATACACATACACCCACACACACAAACGCATTTGCCCAGACACACACCTTTGAACTTCTGTGCAGTTGCCGTGCAATATTCGAAACATATCCTGTTTGTCATTACTACCAGTGTCGTGGCTGCCTGTTGTTTTTCCTGCTTGTTTGTCTGTGTCTCTTTCTTGTGTCTGCTTGCAGGGGCTCCTACAGGTTATCCCTCGGGTTTGCCCAAAGTATTTTTTGCTGTTTGTTTTTGTTAGTTTGTGTGTGTCTCCTCGTAGTAAAGAAGAAAAAAAAAAAAAAGAAAAAAAAAAATATATACATATATATATATATTTTTTTTATTTTATTTATTTATTTATTTTTTTGTAGACTTTTTCAAATATTTCATCACAGTTTTGAGTCATGTTGGAGGAATCTGAGTAAATATTAGTGAGTGCAGTGCTTTTTTCTTGCTGAGAGATTACTCAGAGGAAGTACTGCTCTGCTTCATTAACAAGGGGAATAACTGACCTTCATCATCAGCACGACTGTGTTGAGGGCAATTAAAGTCATGATGGCATACTCAAAAGGTGAGGACACCACAAATTTCCACATCTTGTACTGGAAGGACTGCTTGTTCTGTGGCATATATCTTGTAAGTGGCTTAGCGTTAATGGCAAAGTCAATACAGGCCCTCTGTACGAAAGAAAGAGAAAACAAAACAGATTTTGTGAATAGTTTTTAGTAAAGGAAGCCCACAAAAGTGCAAACAATTCAAACTGAACAAGAAAACAAAACAAGAAAAGTTGGAAACCCTATCGAAAATACTCTGCTTTTTGCGATAACAAAAGAAAAGGCAAGCAAACTCACAGATAGTAAGTTTTGTATGACAAAAACATGTTTTTTGGGCAATCATCAAAGTGAAACAATGGGGGCATGAGTGGGTAAACTCTTGCCTACTTTGTTTTTTTTTTTTTAAATTCTAAAAGAAGATTTGTAGTGAAAATATAGCCCAAAACTATTTGTTGTGATAGAGAGATACCATAAATTGTTCGGTTCTCACCTCATTCTTCTCCAAACTACACTCAGACATGGCCTTGTCTCCCTGCTCCTGAAACGTGATGATGATCAAAGCCACAAATATGTTGACAAAGAAGAAGGGAAACACCACAAAGTAGACTACATAAAAGATGGATGTCTCCATGCGGAATCCTGGGCTGGGCCCCTGATCCTCATATGTGGCATCCACTGAGTGCTTTAAGACCCTAGAAAAAGAAAAAAATATATTGAAAAGAGATTTTAAACCTCACACACAGAAAGAGGTGAATTGTTTTCATTACTTAGCTTTAGAGATTTAAGAAGGCAAATCATTTTTTGAAAATGAGTCTTTCCAAGCCATGAACATTTAAGCAAGGCAAAGCAAGTTTATTTGTAGGGCACAATTCGTGAACAAAGCAAATCAAAGATTCTTATGGTTTCTTAAAAGCAAAAAAGTAAATAAAAACTTTCAGTAAAATATGAAAATATTAGATATTATTCTAAAAAGTTAACTGAAAATTTGCACAGCTAAATAGAAAACTGTTTTTGGCCTGGATTAAAACTTGTCATAGTTAAGGCCTGTCTCTGTGACGAAATGCAGTAAAAATAAATCATCTTTGCCACTGGTAATTTGACAATTCAAACCACACACTTTTAAACAGAAAGGTTAAGCAATGACAAAGAGAAAACTTAATACATTTGATTGTGGATTCATTTAATTTTCTAAACTAATACATTATCCTACAAAGACTTTGTCAAAAGTTTTGAAATTGTTTTGTTGTTTCCTGAACTTCTGTATTTACTTACTTATCTTATTCAAAGTCATCTGTTAAAAGTCCCATCCCATTTTGACCATGATAATCTGATGTTCAACTGCAGTCAAGTTTCAAGGTGCTGCAATGCCTTTTGTCCTTGTAAAACCAAGATTTTATAGCTATGCTTCCTCTTTTAAAAAAGCCTTTAACTTAACTTAAAGACAAATCAAATCCTAAAAAGGAAAAAGTAAGTAGTAAATAGTAATTCCTGAAGGGAAATTCAAGTTTTGGGAACTGCTCATGATACATTCCGTTCAGTTCAGGTTTATTTGAATATTGTGAATACACACAAAATAATTGCAGTTTTAATCTAATCCAATCAATTACAATTAAATCAAATCAAATGAATTCTAATTCAAATTTGACCCAGAACTATAATACCAGTTTGAAAAATTGCTAGACACAGAGGAATTCACTGAACGTTCTGCACAAGAACATGAGCGGAAAACTCTATTTTAACAGGCAGAAAACTGAACCATCTCAGAAATAGTGGCAATCTAAAACAGAGTAGCAGGTCCCAGTATAAAACAAACCAATATCTGAGCAGTGGTTTCACTTACAATTATATATTATTACTAATCAAAAAAAATTCAGCACTAGGTCCAGAATATCTTGGCTGTTTTCCAAAAATGATAAAAATCTGTCAGTTGTGGAGTAGCAACTGCCGGCCCTTTTCTCTCTGTCACTGGAATTACACAGACTTGAGCAACTCTGTCAGACGATAAACCACAGTCTGCTAAGGCATTAACACTGCTAATAAGATACTCAGGTAAACAAAAGATAATTTTGACTTGACACTTGACACTGCTAACAAAGAGACATCTGGGATAATATGCCCATATTCATGCATCTCTATTCAAAGCATAACTGTGTAGTTCACAGTATTATTATATTTACTTTATAAGTGTAATCATAGGAAAATAACTTTTAGGTTATCAAAGTTTTTTTTTCTCGGCAAAGAATTAAGAATCTACAGTTTTAAGGATTAAGAACTGATTGATTAGAATTTTAGTACAGGAATAGTACAGCATCTTTATCACACTGATAAAATAAGAAAATGTACTGTTGTGTAACATAGCTAAACTGGAAGGCCCCTTCTTGCCAATGGAATGGTTGAAATTTTAGATATTGAAGTGTATATAGTGGAAAAATATACTTTCCACTGACTGGTCGTCACAGTGAGTAATACAGGCAACAGGCATCAAAGACCCTTAAGAAAGATTATGATGGTGATGAGTCTGCAGTTCTATAACGTCTGCTCACAACAGCTTTCTGAAACTGTTAACGCAATGAGCCTTGATTGTATCTGTTGTGAACACACACTAATTAAACCTTGGAGAAATCAAATGGATTTTTATCAACAATTTTTTTAATTTTCTTTTTTGTGCTTCCAGGTTCCAGAGTTTGTTTCAGAGCAAAACACTTGAAGACAAGAGGGCTTCCGATACGCAGGCACTTCTTATGAATGACATATTTTGGTCATAATGGTTTTCTGAACAATTTCTTCTCCTTATGTCTTCCTTAACTTCGACCTTTATATTCATGGAGTAATATCCCTTCGCACCAAAACAGACAGATGTGAAGGTTGAGATGACTTACATCGGCCAGCCCTCCCCAGTGGAGACAGTGAAGAGTGTTAGGAAGGCCCAGAGAACATTATCATAGTGAAACTCATATTTCTTCCACACTCTAGCTTGAGGTACCACATCATCCCTGCCATAATCCAGAAACTGACCTCTGCAATGAACAGGACATGAGTGACACGTTTGTGAGAATAAATTTCATAAAAACAGGAGAAAAGCTTAACATGCAAGTTAATTAAAAGAACAAATGGATACAAAAGAAATTGTCGAAAATACATGTTATATACCTGCAGTCTTTTTCTAGGCCCTTGGACTCGTCGGTGCAATAGAAGAATTTGCCCTTAAAGAGCTGCACAGCAATTACAGCGAAGATAAACATGAAGAGGATGTAGACAATGAGGATGTTTAGAACATTCTTCAGGGAGTTCACAACACAGTCGAACACAGCCTAAAAAATACACATATGAACAAACACTGTAAGATATTTGTACTTGATAATCACATTTTCTTATTCAAATTTTTAGGATCTATAGATCTCTGGTCATTCCTAATTTCTGAGAAATGTGCAAAGAAAATATCTGCAACTTGGCTCAGTGACAGTTGCAAAAAGATCTATATATCTATATCAAAGATGTATACTGTTGTGACACTTCATTAAGGAATAGTGCCTTTAATTAATTCATTCAGCAAATTTAAATCAGACATCTGGTAAAATAAATGGTTTACTTCCACTTAAAAAAAAAGATGTTTGTGTTCTCTTTAATTCATAACAGATTCTAATTTGAAGTTTTGAGGATGAACATGAAGTGTGTAGAAACTGTTTTATGTTGTAAGTAACCTTATTTTACCATACATTGACAATTCTGTTTTCTCTGTATGAAAGTCTCTAAACAGAAAAGCGGGACTCATACTTAATGCAGTTTTGCAGGTCAGTCTGTTATTTTATAGATTATATAAATTCCATGTATAAATTTATATATATATAATATATAGGAGACAATCTCATTTCAGGAATGGTTAAGCAGTTTTACTTGCACTTGTAGGATGGTCTATCTTGAGCTTAGTTTTATGTAAGAAGCTGTGAGATGTATAAATAGCACCATTACACCATTGCACTATGCCATTGCATATTTTATCAAACCACAAGATTTTTAAAAAATGTAAAGACTCCCTTACTGAATACTTTTGGGTACAGAATGCCTGTAAATGTAAATTTCCAGAATATACTGAGTGGCAGACTAAATGACTGTACCTTCAACTTGGGCAGCCGCTTAATGGTCTTGAGTGGCCGCAGGACTCTGAGGACCCGAAGGGACTTAATGGTATTGATGTCTTTGCCTTTTGTCCCTCTGTACAAAATGAGAATGCAGTCAGATTGGGTGATGAAGTTTTATTGACATTGGTTTTACCACAGTAATATCAAGCTCCATTAATGAGGTTTAATTGTAGCAAAATAGATGTGTTCTGTAGTCATGCTTGTTTATATCATGTTAAGGGAACACATGCATCCGAATGGATAGTGTTATTCCACAGAGACATCCAACAAAAACTATTCAGATTATTTTCTCTTTCTCCTATTTTATTCTTATTCCCCTTCCCCTTTCTCCCTCCTTTCTCTTTAATTAATTTAACTTTTCTCTCTGGATTAGTTGAATTTCCATCTTTCTCTCAGTCCATTTTTCTATCCATTTTTCTTCTTTGTTTATCTTCTAAAATGTCTTCACTTATGTTTTTTTGTCCTCTTTCTGTAATTTTTTTCATGCCATTTAAGGGCTGACTTTTTTCTTGTTCTATTTATTGTGGCTGTCTTGTAGTTTCTCTTTATGAAAGTTTCTGTGGAGAAAAGTCAATTAATTGCTAAATACCATCATTTCAATTTCTTAAGACTCCTGTTTCACCCTCTCGTTTCCTTCTGCCCATTTTAATTCTCTGTCCTAAGAATAGAAATCAGTTACCATAAAATGTTTACAGATAGCAGTGAAATGTAATTTGGCTATTCTTCAGCAAAAATATTTTTTCTAACCAGACGTGTAAATGCTTTTTTAAATATTGTTTCCATTTGTGTTCCCAACATAAAGGAGTTATCTTAAAATGCTCAAGGAACACTACCATCATTTTGAATGCATGTTCATAACAAAACAATTGTTTACGAGGATTATGGAGAAGGACATAAGCATACTCAAAAAGTAAATAGCCATTTTCAATGGCCCAAGGGGCTTTGCTGCTCCTTGTAACAGCATGTCTCAAGACAGGTTTAAGAAAACATATACTGTCTCATCCTCCATTTTACACTTTGACACATTCTTGCTAACACACACAGAAGTACTCAGATGTATGTCAATCAGATTCAAAAGACACCTGGATGTTTGCTGGAGTATTTAAGGGATTTTGGAAATCTAAAAACATTCAAGTCACTACTCAGCAAAATAGAAATAATTAGAATCTTGAAATGCTATTGTTTCTAAACACATGCTGATAAAAAAAGATAGAGCTCAATCAGGACAAAAAACACACCTCCAAAAAGGGCATCTTCTTTTTCAACAAAATGGCATGCATCTCATGCTGTAATAACTTGTACACCCTGACATGCAATTGTAAAGTTTATTTTTGCCCTTTTCAGGCTCCTTGAGACACATTGAGATGACAAGAAGAATCTCCCAATAGCTTTCAGAAGCACCTTTGGCAAGAGGACATTAAGAGAGTGCTCATGAGAGGGAAAGGTCTGTTCATATGTTCATATGCCTGTAGCCTGGATCAGCAGCAATCCATGTGTGGTCATCTTCAGCCATTCAAACTCCTTTAACCTGCCTCTTTCCGAGAGCACGGGACACTAGCAGATGTATTTACTGCATATTCACTTAATAATAGTATACACGCACCATTGTGCAAATATTTTCCTAGCATCTAACTTCGTCTTATCTTTATGTTTTATTTTGGGAATTATTTGAGTAAATTTTTATTTAAATGAAGAGTCAGTAAAAATGTTCAGTTATGTGGTTTGGAAGTTGTTATGCAACAACAAAAAAAAAGTTTTTTTCTTGTAGAAAAAGCAGTCAGGTCTATATATATTCATATTTCTGCCTGTAAGAACCACCTTAGTGCCTAAAAAAAGAGAATAAAATAATGAAATAAAAAAGCATTAAGAAGGTTAAATGTAGGTGGAAGACAGATAGATGTGGGTCATAATCTCTTCACAGATTTGCTGATTAAAACTACCTAAGTTAAATTGAAAGAAATAGGATAAAAACAAAATGAAGGATAAAGACGTTCTCTTTAACAAGACTGTGAGTTTGAGGGCAGATTCTCATCTGTGAATATCAGTATTCATAAATTGGTCTTCTGGAAGCTATGGTGGGGAGTTCCCATTATTGGCACAAGAGGAGACTTCTTGTAATAGGGAATAGAGCAAGGGAGGAGGCAATCATCACATTGGGATCAGTGACAAGGTCTATTGGAACGCTTAGAGGAGGAATGCTCCATATTTCACATGTGGGTAGGAAAAGATGTTTGCAAGGGTGTTAATAAGCAAGAGATATATAGGGGCAATTCCCACCTGGCCACACTTTGTTGCGTTCTGATGGAAAAAAGAAATTATAAGAATATACAAGCAGACAATACAGGAAATAGGCCAGCACAGAAAAAAGAAAGAGCAAAATAAACACTCAAAGCAGATAACCACACAGTTATATAGAAACATTAACATAATTAACCTTTCACACTTAAGGACATCAAAAATCAAACGAAAAGATAAGCAAGCACCATTAAGTCTTAAACAAATCTTCATTTAAGGGATGAAAGCAATAGACAGGTCTAGTAAAATTTAGACTAAAACAATATGGGGACAGTTACATATTTACAGGCAGAGGATGACCATGACAGGTTATTATTAAGGCAAAGATGGGAAGAGATGATTATGTTGATGAGAACAATCAGCTGTTGGTCTGCATTCACACTGCAAAGAATAAATTAGATAACGCTGCACTTCTCATTCCAAATTAAGAATATTTTTGTCGCTTCAAGTGAAGAAAGTCTAGAAAGGTCAATTCATTATGTCTCTTTCAGCTACATATTAAGCAAAAATAAATGGTACATTGAGCAAAAATCTAACTGTTTTTGTCCTTTAGTGGATGTAATTACATTTCTAAAATCACTACCAATCCTGTCATTTTATTTTCAGCTGCCTAACTCTGAAAGTGTGCAAGTTACAGAATAACCTTGTGCAAATTAAGATTAGGCTAACTATTAAACTATTTAGCCTTTTCTTTCCTACTAACAACAAATTCTCATTAGCAGGTTCTGAATTAATTTAGGAAAGCAGTTAGCGAATAATCCTACTATCCTACTTAGTCTAATGTGCTATAATAAACTGAATAAACCAACGATTGAAGCCCAGATTGCCTTGGACAATACTGTAAATTAACTGATCCATTTCCCCCATCAGTTTTCCATGATCTTTTTTTACCATACATTCCTATCCATGTTGTTGTTTTTTATTAGTCTTGCCTATTTAAACACATGACCTCCTACAACACCGTACTTGTGTGTTTGTTTGTGCTAGATTTGCATTTGCAAACTCTCTATTTCCTCCATTTACTAATATCATTTGTTACTTAGGATCATTGGATTATTTATATTCGCACTTACATTTTTATTGTCATATCATATATGATATCATCTTGTCATGTCATTGTGAGATCATAGATATATTTTAAAAAATACTTTGCGGAATAGTGGCTCACTAAGTGCCTTGAAAAATACTGTTCTGAAAACAAGCTGTTGTGTTTAATTTTTGTTGTATTTTTTAACAAAGGAGGTCATGGTTATTTATATCATTCTTAGGAAATTTGATCAATCTTTTAACAAAAGGGCCTGCATAATTTCTTTCCTACTCAAATGGGTTGGATGTGGAAGTCCTATAAAGTGTGCTGGTTTTAAATAATCAAGAGTGAAGTTTTACAAATTAGAATCTCGCTGTAGTCTTCCACAGGTTTTTCTGTGCTGAATCCAATCAAATACAATAATTTTGTGAAATATTCAAGCATTTCAGTATCTTAAACATAAATGTAATACTGCTAGTTGTTGACACGTGTACACCTCTAATCCGGTGTTGTCCTCATGAATGGCTGTTTCTGACTTGGTTGTTTATTATCTGGAAAAATAATGATGCCATGTAAGACCTCTTGGTAAAGGTTCTCAGCATGTTTCCCTGTACATTTCCCAAACTAAAGTAGCAGAATAACTGTTGTGAATCAACTAATTTGAATTAGATTTATGTAGGTTCAAGTAAGTTGACTCAACACCATTTGAAAGTGTTTCATATATTAGTTAACAACTTTCAACTTCCATGCTAAAAAAAGAGGGGGATTGTAAATAACTTCATAGGAAGTGCTAAACACTGGTCAGGAAATTAATGTGGAATTGAGAGATAAAGGGGAAACATTTTAAATTGATAACCCCTAGAATAGGATATTGTTGATCCATCCAAATGAAGAGAGGCATTGCATGATTAACAATACGACCAAGCCACTTCATTCTATTTATTTAAGCTATCTTTATTTTTATGTTTTTCAAAATTAGAACAAACAGAAAATATTGAGCTTGTTTTTTGCTTAAAACAATATAATTTGTATGATTATAGACAGTAGCGCCAATAATTGTTGCTCATTTTTAATATTATTTTACTCAGCATCAGACTAAATATAATTTATTAGCAAATACATAAAAATTATGATGTAACCTGACACAGTTATGTAACAAAACTGAGTAAATGCCAGCATCTGTAATTGTGACTGGTTGTGGTGATAAGAGGACGAAATGACAAAATATGACATTTGCTTGAAATATTTAGCTGGGAGAGGAAGGCTGATGCAGATTAATAACTAAAATGACACTGGCTGAAAGACATGAAGGAAAGCAGAAATACAAGTGGATAGACAGGCAGAAAGCTGGCATTACCCCATGAGGCTCCTGAAAGCATCCAAGCCAGAACACAAAGAAGAAAGAGGATAAAAAGTGGCAAAGACGGTCAGCAACAGATAAAAGACAGAGAGAAACATCACTCTACAGCTGGGGAAAGACAAAAACAGAATTACAGAAAGCGTGACTAAGAAAAAATGCACTGGAGAAAAAATAGGGGAATTTCAATGCAAATTATGTTTGTGAAAATAGAGGCCAAAAACTGACAAATGTGTCAGAAGATAAATATTTGAATAAATAATAAATTCACTCTATTAATATCTGTTAGCTAATTCTGGTCCTACATGTCTAGTATACGCCAAAACAATCTACAAGGAGAAAATTCATGTTAGATTACAGTCACTTTTCACATGTGTATGAGTAAATCCCGTATACCATAGACAGTCACTAAATATTATACAGGAGTGGAAAGTGGATGTTTTCCCAAATGTTTGTTTCATCATTCCCTAAAACACAACTCAGTGGGGCATCCTGTGAACTAACATTCCTGAAAGAAGCTGGAGCGATATAAGTGGTCTATAATCCATCCAATATCTGTATCGCTTATTACTTGAAGGGGGCCAGAGCCTATCCCAGCACACATCAGGCGAGAGGCAGGGTACACCCTGGATGTCAGAACTATCAGGATGCCTGTAGTGCTATATAAGTGTTTCCTTATAAGGTATTTCCTTTAACAATGAGACAGTCCTTCAACGCCTCTTAGAAAGTAAGTGCTTTCAACCATGAAACTTAAGTTCAACCCCCAAATGTGACAAATATTTTATTGCTTCTGCTACATTCATGCAATGAAAAGACAGCATTTTGCTTTATCTGTTGTGTTCGTCCACACATGATACATAATTACTAGGTGTATTATATCAGGCATAATTGTAAAAATTGCAGTTAGCAGGCAGATGAAGCCTGTCTTTTAAAGTGAAGTTTCTTTATTATGCACCTTCAATAACTTTAACCATACCAGTTAAATTGTGCATGGCCCATTACCGGACCTGGAGACTTTATGTAACAATGAAAATGTCTGGCATACTCATGGTGGCAACGTCCTGGGCACAACAGAAGCCTTACATTTCATAAGAAAATAATTGGATTCAAACATCTCATGTATAGTAGAAAAGAGATGACAGCAAAAATTATATTAATCCTGCAAAACCAGTATTTTGTCTGAGGAAAATGGAAAAAGTTACTCACGAGCAGGCAAAGGCTACCAGTGCTCCACTGACCACAATGAAGTCGAGAATGTTCCAGAGGTCCCGAAAATAAGAGCCAGGGTGTAGGAGCAGTCCCAAATCAATCATCTAGGTTTTAAAGAATAACATTTACATTTAATGCATGTATGCATTTAGTTAACACTTTTACCCAATGCAACTTACAAAAAGAGGGTTTAACATTCAACTACTTTAGATGACAAAATGGAGGAAATGGGAAAATAAAGCCGAGTGTAATCAGTGGTGACAAGCAACTGGTTGGCGACTGGTTGTGTGTGGGCCTTATCATAAATCTCAGTTTCAGTCATTAGCTAATTAGAAAACAAAAAACAAAATATTCCTTCACAGAGTGTGACACAAAGCAGATATGATTCAGATTGAGTCACAATGAAAGAGCAACATTTGTAACCTATACATTGAAATACATACTATACACTGTCTCTGAACTTTTAGCCTGAGCTAGCATGTTTCACCAAATTCTTTCAAAGCAGGGTTTTCTGAGTCTTCCTCCAACCGTCTCACCTTTATCACCATCTCAAAAGTGAAGACGCCAGTAAACACATAGTCCAGATATTTGAGAACCTGTAAACGCATAAGAAAATGTTCTTTGAGATTACTCATCAGGTGACCCAGTCACAACCATTTTCAGTTTACGATTAACTGGAAGTGAGTAGGAACAGGGTGTATATACATTGCATGTTCCACCACTCAGTAAGAGGTCTCAGACTGTGTTAGCTTTGAACACTTCAGCACATACACACATTGCATGAGTATCCTTTTAATGCACAAAAGCAAACATATGTACACACCATCACCCCAGTTCCATTCTGTGTCCCTGACAAGAATACTAATTAAATGTGCCTGTCTTTCAGAATGAAAAAACTAAACAAATCAAGAACTCAATATGTATGTCTTTCATTTTTATTCTCGAAGTGAGCTATGACATGGATAGACATCACAAATGAATGCTTACTTTAGAATAATAGTCCCAAAATGAAAATTAAAAAACAGCAACTTGTCGATTCACCCTTCTAGTTGTTTAAGAAGAATTTTTTTGTCTGTTGAGAAGTCCAAAGTGCATTCAGTCAATGTACATCAGCCTAAATGTGATGTAGGAATGCATAAAGCCCCCTCTGCATATATGACCATGCACATTTTCATGAAAATGCTTGCCTGTGTATGTTTATCTGTCTAAAATTGTGTATGTTTGTTGTGTTCCTCCAGATGTTTATTAATGAGGGCTACATGTCAACTTGACTCACGTTGTTCCGTGGTGCGTTGGCTTGGACGGGGTCCTCAGCTGCAAGGGTAATGCTGCTCATTGTAATGACCATCAGGATGCACATTTCAAAGTATCGAAGGTTCACCACATAATGACAAAGCCGTCGCACTCTGCAAGATGACAGAGACAATCTCACCAATATCATCCGATGGACTGCAGGCAACAGCCCCTTCACCCAAACCTCTTTGCATATTGACTATTTACAATTACAAATAAAGGATTTATCATGACTCATAAATTCTCTGTCTCCACTTGCTAACCTAACATGCCTATTTAGATTAATTTACATGTGTCTTTTTTGTTTGCTTTTTTGTTATATTTTTAGAATTTACTTCAGGTTGTTTTCTTGCGATATGACTCGTTTTAAACTTAGATGATCTGACAGATGTTCTGACATTTCCCTTATAAATCAATCAATGTTGTTTATTTTGATGGTAAGTGGATCTGAGGGCATTGCAGCAAAACAGGTAAAAGCTATGATGTTACCACAACAATGTTTGCAAGGGATTTGTGCTGGAATGTAGTCTTTCATTAAGAAAACAGCTTTTCAAAAGATAAAAGAATCCTTTGAAACAATTTTATAAAGTACATGTAAGAAGCATATTTCCATTTCACTTGTGATTACTTTAAAATTCTATTTTCATGATGTGCACCGCTGTAACTATGTCCTTTCTGACAACAGACCATCAAAAGCCTTGGTAATATGGAAATACCATCTGTGAGGAACTGTAACCAATTTATGAAAGGTCATTTTATGGTTTAAAAGTTTCTCTAGTTTTGAGATAATTGTCAAATAAATTTTCATTTTCATTTTTTTGTTGCCTATACATAATTTTTGTGGTCATCTAATGATTTACAGTTAGGAACCCATTTAAAACATTTACTGGATGTAAATATAGGACCATCATGATACTGATTCAATTTTGGGTCTATTAAGACAACAGTTACACGTCACAGAACACAGGGAACCATGTGACATTAACGAAAGACAAGAAGCTCCACAAGTAGTCAGCCTAAAAAATGTGTACTGTTTCATCAAGCTGCTCATTACGCAATCATGATACAAACACCTGTTGTACTGATATGACAGTTAGCTGTAACATGCCTGTTTGTTGCCTCAACCAAATTATGAAAGCGGTAGACAACTGGATGTCATAACTGCATTTTATCCTTTAAAAATGCATAAAGCATACTTAGAAATTCACCTTACATCACCAAGTTTGGAGATAGAAAGTCAACATTGCTGCTGCTCTTCAGCTAATAAATCCAAGGTTCAATTTTAGATTCAGCTTATTCAGTATAATCCACTCTGTTTCAAGTCACTTTGGTAAAGATTATGTTCTTGAGACAATCATAGGTTCAGTTTAACTGCCAATGAAGAAGCAAATGGCAAGAAGAAAAAAACTATAAACTAACACATAATTAACAAGATAAATACATGAAGAAATGTATCGTGCCTCATTAATTTTGAAGGCCCTTCCTTGGTTAAGGCATGTCACTTTGGATATTTGCAACATGAAACATAATTTCCAATGACAATGACAAGTTTTCCTAATAATGTATATGTTTGTGTAATCGTGGAAAGATATCACAATAGCATTTCACGAAAGTTTATCTTTAAAAAGAAAATGTTGATGAGACTAAACAATTTTTTTTTTTTAATTAGAGACTTTTTTCATGAATATGTAGTTAATGCCTACAGTATCTAAGATATTTTCTAGCTGTAACTTACGGGTTTGTTTGTCCAAAAACAAACATTGAGCTGTAGGGAAGGATTTGCTGAGGCCCATTAGCTTCATCCTCTTCCAAATCCTTCTTATCCTCACCGAGTTGGAAGTTGTCACAGTCAATGTTGTTCACTAATGTAATAAAACAGAGACAAAACACTCACTTAGCTCAAACAAACACAAAAGTTAAGTAGTGATGTATTTTCTGTGAATTTGAAAAACAGGCTATTCATTTGTCTTGCTGTTTAATGATTACTTATTATGCATAATGAAAATAAACAGAGAGATATGCAGAACTTCACTATATTTCTTTTACCCTGAGGCTACCTAAGTCAAGGGTGAATAAAGGAACATTGGTTGAGCAAAACATGAAACATTAATGTCATTTATTTTAAAAAGTATATCATATTCACCAAAGGGCTGCATTCAAATATATGACTTGATAGTGTTAATTTAGCTGAAATACCTCTTTAAACCCACACTGAAACATTGAAAAAATACTGTAGCGACATCCATTTAATCATAATAATAAGACATAGGCAACAGTTTTAAGAGGTGATCTCTTAGATCTGTGTGGAGGGACTGCAAGGATATAGAAATTAAAAATGTAGTACCTTGAGTTTGTGACAAAAATGTCAATTCACTACCAGAAAAAGATGAAAGAACAGACAGAAATTAAACCTGTACCCTGTAAAAATGGTTTTAATAATTCCTGAGGTCCAAGCCTCTCTAGACATGGTTTCTATCAAAGGGTGGATGTCAAGGAATCATTGTTAAAACATAGTGGGGTTATGCTGACCGAGAGCACTATGAAAGGAAGACCATTGGAGAAACTGATTAAAATAAATTGTAAGGACTCTTGTCAGGTTAAGACTGTGTTAAAAAATATAAGACCTCATTGATTCTGAAGCTTTATGGAGTGTAAAAAAACTCTGTCTGATATACTTTTATACTGTTTTTTTTCAAATATTTCAATCAATCTTGCACCAATGCCTTATTCTCCAAGCTGATATAATATAGAGAAGTGAAGTTTGGATCAAGACTTGAGCACAATAACGTAGATTGCATTTTGGAGCATGTGTTCATTTTTATCGTGTACGACAGGTTCACCCATCAATTTCTTTGCTGAGTTGATGGCGTGTGGTGACTCTCTTAATTTCCTTTAAATACCCTTAATGACTTTGTTGAAAATTGATGACAAGTGGAAATATATTACATAGCCTTAAAAACAAAAATACACAGTGTACTCACAGGGGATGACTGTAGTATTACCAGGAGGGGTAGTGATTGTAACAGGAATGTGGATGGCATTGCTGTTGATGCCAGCTTGACTAGCTCTGGTGGAGTTCTTTTGGTTATCAGCATCTTCTTGCTTTTCACTGAATGTCAAGCTGCTCCGCTTTGGCTGTAATGGACTGCATGCAAATCTGTCCTCCTCAGCATCTGATTGTCTTTCCCTTGGGAGAAATTGTTTTTGTAATACAAGTGTTAAACACAACTTAAAAAAGATGATCATATACCATACATTTTGTATTTGTTGAATATCAGTGGCCTTACCTGTAATTTTCGGATCCACCAAGAGTAGATTGAGCTCTAGCCATGCGAGAGCACCGTTTCTTTCGTTCTTCATTGGCATCCCATCCACCTCCCTCTCTTCCTTTTGACTCTCCTTGTGCACCATTTGCCAACTGCCCATTTCCTGCCTTTGGACGATGAAAATGGTGGCGATGACCTCTTTGCTCTCCTTCTAACCCTCCTCGAGTATCACTTCCCTCCTCCTCAGGGGAGCTGGATTTGTGGTTGTGCCTGTGTCCATGTCCTCCATCACAGCCCATGCTCCTCTCCCATCCCCTATCATTTGTCTGGTTTCCATCTGCATTGTGATCTCTGCTCCTGCTGTGATGTGTATGATGGCTCCCTCCCCGGCCGTTGCCTCCATCACTGTTCTTGTCACGGTGGCGGTGATGTCTCCTGGAGTGCGTGTGGAAGCTGTCTCCCACCCTGTCCTCCCAGGGACCTCCTACCTCTTCCTGACCTCCTTCGGAGTGCCTGCTGGTGTTGTCGCTATTCTTGCCCTCCACTAGAAGTGGACGGTCCCTGTGAGTCTTTATGTCGGGATGCAGATGGATGGTGGTGGAATTTCGTGAGTGGTCTTCGAGATCAAGCTCATTGAACAGGGCTTCATTGCTGGCCCTCATATTGTGTCTCCTCAGCTGGCTGGTTCTCTGCTCCCAAATTGACTTGGACTTTGCAGACCGCTGTTGCTCTTTTCTGCGAATATCAAACCAAAATCAGAGAAAATTGTTAGGTCGAAGATAAAACAATGTACAAGAAATATTTTTCAATCTCTATTCACTGAGATACGATTTATGTAAACTTTGCAAACCACAGTTCTATCCACTTTTCAAAACTGGTGAAAAACTATTTACATATGTTTTACTGACATTCAAGCAAGCTTCTAACAAGGCTTCAGTTAGGAAGATAGAGACAAGTTTATGGATGTGTCAGTACAATTGCTTACTGTGGTAAAATGTTCTACTTAAACTACGCTGGCACTTACAATGCTAAAATGCATTTGATGCTAATGTGTATTAGAAATTCATCAGATGATATGAACTTTTCACAGGAGGACCTCAAGTTATTTTAGGTTCACATAATTAAAGTGCTACAACATCATTTTGAAGTGGAATAAAACATTTTTAAATAGCTTTTATCGGTTTGAAATTCTCAGTGTAAAATCATGCCTAAATGAAGCTTACAGAGAGCATAAGAGGGTGAAGAAAAATAATAATTCTGATAGAGATTCCAAAATTTGTACAGATTGTGGTGGGTGGAAAATCTCATTAACCAATATAATATTCACAATACACCGTGGCTGTTGAAACTGTGAAATTTTAATATAACGTTAACAAATTGCAGCTAATTTTAAGTTCTTGATGGAGATTGCAGTAAAACATGTTTACCACTGTGTAGTATCACCTCTTCTTCTGACAACAATCTCTGCCATTATGAAAGGGGAAGAACACATTATCAAGAGAAAAAAAAGAAGACAAGTGAGCCAGACAACCACCCTCCCTTATAGGCACTCTCCCCATTATTTTAAAATCAAAATCTATTGGTCCAAAGATGGCTGTTTTTGGACTGTGTGAGCATGCCAGAGATTTAGTAAAGAACCCAAGCTGGCATTCATGCATGACCATTTTTGTTTGTCTCAGAGACACCTTTCTTAGGTACTTTATCTAAACCCAGTCATGTCCCATACGTTTTCCTCTAATAGTTTCCTCATAGCATTACCTCTGCTTTTCCAGCTTTCTTTCATCAAATCAATGAAAAGCCTTTTTTTTTAATGTTCATTCATTCATTTTCATGATTTGAAGCAATTTATGTAGACATTTGCATATACATAGTTTGAGATTTACAACTCACTGCATTCTGCTTTTATTTATATGTTATGCTGCAATAGAAAAGATGGTGTTTTTCACTCGGCCAGGTCATTTTTGTAGTAGTTAAAAAGCTAATGTTATAGCCAGTACGCACAGGTCAGGTTGCATGTAATAATTTGCCTTAAAAACCATGGAAAGCTAGTTTGAATGGGTAAACAAAGACGCAGGAAATCCTTAGGTTTAACTATGAAGGATGCTAGCAGCAACTTATCAAAACCCCAAATGGAGCATCAGACCTTCGAAGAAGGACAAGTATACGATATTAGCTGGCTTGAAGCTAACCAAAATCCCTTACCAATATGCCTTGCAAAGCCTCTTCCTGACTCGCCGCTTAAACCTCCAAATAAGAAGGTAAAGTTTGGGGTTAAAAAATGCTGCAGTCTCCACCATTAAAAGCACAACAGTCAACCTCAATGAAGACTGAGAAGCTCATGTCAACAGTCCAGCAACTTTCTTAACCTTTCTTAACTTGATGTTAACCAACAAAACCTTCAATAAACATACTCAGGCTATGCTTTATGCCAACATGAATACCCAGATGGATTATACTTGTCATAAGTTCTCAAAATGCTTGTACTTGATAATGCTATAAGCACATTTTGTTGCTGGAATTCAATTATTTTTTAGTCTTTATTTATGAAATCTTATGGTTTTGTACATACAAGATGCAATATTTTAATTATACATACGTTTCTTTATACTTTTTTGTTATGACGAATTCAATTATACTTTCTGTTATTTTGAACTATAATACACCTTACTGTGATACTTGGATACGTCATCAGTGATGAATTGATCTTTGATAGTCAGGCAACCTCACCCGGGCGACCCAGCCGGGGGCGATCACTCCCCGGCTTGTGTTCAAGTAGTGCACCACAGATCCCTCCTACAGGTCCACAGCCACCGCAAGGCCTTTTCTGTGGCCTCAAGAATGCTCTTGGTGCCTTTCCTCAACTGCAGTCCTCTAACACATTTCCAGCCATTGCTCCGGCACTCTGTGATGAGCTCAGAGTATTTGGACCTCTTGTGCTCATTTGCTTCCTCCATCCGGTCCTCCCAATGGGACAGTCAGTTCCAGCAGGACCACTTGCTTGGTGCTCTCCGATGTTAAAACCATATCTCGGCAGAGTGAAGTGGTAGCTAAGTGAACTGGGAACTTGAGTTGCTGTCCTAGATCAACTTAGAGCTGCCAGTCGCGAGCGGTAGCAAGGAGCCCTCCTGAGGAATTGGGCTTGTGCTTTGTCTTCTGCCCTGCTCTAACAAAGGTGATTGACTGCTTCTGAGCAACCTGGGTCTTGCTGTTCTGTACAGCTGTGCTGATTGAATCCGCCAAGTATTTTAAAACTTGGATGTGGCGCCAGCAATACCGCCCTTCTCCTTTTTGCTGCTCAAAGGCGTTTGGGCAGCAGTTCAGAATTCTCCAGGGTGTCCCTTCTCTTGCACAGTTTACACTCAGGACTATCTGCCAGGCCCCAGGTGTGAAGGTTGGCCAGACTTGGGAGGACGTCATAGACAGATTGTATGAGGAATTCCCCCCCCCTTCCCACTGCCACAGCTCCAACCAAGGCTTTATGCCTCAGCCATGCCTCCACTCTACTGACGGCTTCTTGTGCCTGTCATTTCCTCCTGGTCTTGACAAGGATTCCTGCCGATACCACCTTAGCGTCCAGCAAGTCCCTGTACATCATCACCTCTCTTGACCGGGTAACTTTGAACTCCTCCAATAGCCCACTGAAAAGGGAGGCGTAGCTTGGTGGAATGGCCATGCTGCTTAAGGACCGAGGGAGCGCAAGCCATCTTCTGAGAAACTGGCTTATGGTCTTCTCTAGTTTTTCTACCATTGTCACTGGTACCTCGTTGACTAACAGGGACCAAAGTATTCTAGGCAGGACTACGTGCTGGAAGGCCTTGTACTTACCTGGGAGACCAGATTTGTCTACGGCTGTGAGCCCCCATGGCAAAATCACTCTTGGTTTGCTGCAATGCCGTTGCATCGTTCAGGGAGCTATCAAAGATCTTACCCAGACTCTTGACAGGCTTTTCGGTCACTTATGGAATCTTGGTCCCTCCCAAAGAAAAGCGGAAGTGGTCGGCCACTTTACCTTCCTTCAGGACCAAAGACATAGACTTTACTGGCTTGAAACTCATCTTTGCCCATGAGATGAGCTGTTTAACCCCCTGAAGGAGCCACCTGCACCTTCACAAGTCATCCATAAAGGCTCTTATAGGCGGCTGCTCGGTCCCAGATATTGATTTGGGCCCTCTTCATTCAACCTCGGCAGACTTGACGATCATGGTCATGGCCAAGGTGAAAATGACACCGAAATAGTACAGACAGTGATTATGCCCTTCTCCAGGCGGTGCCAGGCAGATGTTACTTGGCCTGAGGTGACTCTTATGCTGAAGTTATTGTAATGGTCCATGATGAGGTTGCAGGAATGTGGTCTTGTCAGAGCTGTTTTGACAAGCTTGTGAGGGATAGATCCATATGCGTTGGTTAAGTCAAGCCAGACAGTTGCCAGGTCTCCTTTTCTTTCCCTTGCCTCCCGGATCAACTGCATCAGGCACCCAGGTACTCCCGCAACTCACCCCTTCTTGACAGAGGTGTCTATGTAGGCGTTCTTCAAGAGAAACTCTGTTAGACGTTGTGACACAATCTTAAAGAAAATCTTATTCTCATCGCTGAGCAGTGTTACTAGAGTTCTCTTCTGCCGCTAGGGCCGGGGACCAGCACTGTTTAACTGGTAAACTGGTTCTGCAGGTGTTACCAGCTCCTAGCATGGGCCAGGCGCTTGATCTCTTGAAGAGTCACTGAAATCCATGTTGAGATGCTGGTTAATCTTTTCTACAGGGCAAGCAAGGTAGCCTTCTGTCCCAGTAACCACTTGGTGAAGGCGAATGGGTTTCCAATGATGGCACTTCGCTTTCGGGCCCTGTCCTTGCCTTTCCTTCTGTGCCGCTCAACCCCTATCAACATGATGAGTTTTTTTCCTTATGATGTTAGTGAGCTCAGACAGACTAGGTCTCTCCTCTTCGATAGCTGCCTTGAACTGGCGTCTCAAGGATTTCAGTTCTTGACGCAGCTGGCCTAACTTAATTCCCCGCCGATTTACCTTTGCTGAGTTGCTTGCTCCTTGCTTCAGTTCCACTCAAAAACGGTCGGCACCTCTGCTCATGATGAGGGAGCATATGGTTAAGAGTTTCAGGTCGGTGTTGCCATTTGAGATGGCTTCCAGGCTCTTGTCTACATCCTCATCCAGCTTGGTCCACTCCTTGCTGTTAGCGACAGGCCACTTTACCTGACGATGTTCCCATTTCCTGCTCGGTGGGGGAACTTGTGTTGCTAGGACGTTCCGGGTACTGTGTGGGGACTCTGGACTCAGCTCCTCCTCCGTCTGACCAGGTTCTACAGTCGGCGCAACAAGGACTGTTGCATCAGTTGTCATTCCTGAGTGTCGCATCACTTGTTCCTTCCCGAGACAGGTCATCTTAGTCTGGTGGATCCTCAGACCTCTCAGGTTTCAAATACAGTGTAGGTATATTTATTTTGTTGAAAAATAAACATCAGATGCCTAATGCTAATAACCTTCTTAACCACATTTAAATACATCAGCTAAAACTACATTTGTCCAAATGTGAAATTAACTGCAATTATGCTGTGGTCTGTTATATTTCAGTTCAGGAAACAGGTAAATATTTAGGTAACTAAGATTCTTATTGCCTGGCAGCATTTCAACTTTTGTAACAGAATAACTAAAACTAAAGTTTTTAATTCCTGGCTTCAAAGGGACTTATGTGTCCCAAATCATGTCTTTCATAAAACAGAGGGTCTGTCTTTCTTCATGAAATTTAACTTTTTACCTAGCAAATTGTCCATGTTTCATCAGCAAGCCCTTGGAGCATGGAAACCATTGTTTTCATAAATAAATTGTTGAGGTAAATTTTATAAAGACAGCTCATATTGATAACATAAACTGGAGAAAGGGCCTGGCTCTTACTTCACAAATACTGTATCTCTAACAAAGGCCAAGAAATGCACTTTAAAATTGTACCAAACTTAACATATATCACATGAACTCTATTATTGCAAAATTCACAGATGTTAATGACAAAAACAAAAACCTAGAAACAACATTTATGTTTTTTCCCAAACAATTTGGACTAACCTAGGATTTAATCTGCTATTACAGTAACTCTAAAAGTTTTGAACATATGTGTAATTTCATTATCATAGAGGCAAAAAACAGTTTTTCATCTCTTTCATCTTTTCTTTTAGTGAGTCATTCATTTTCTTTTTTTTTAAATCTTTTTTTGTTTTTCTGAAATTAATTTTGTATTATTGTATTTCCATTCCTTAAAATATGTATCCCAATGTCTCTAAGATAAGATAAACTTTACTGATCCCATGAGGGAAATTCAGTAATACTACTGATCTTGTTTAAATCTATCCTGTGATCATTTTACAAGGGACTTTCATTGATATTTTGTCATTACTTTTGATGTGCTGTTCCTTAATGCAACACCTGTTTGTTTTATACAGTATCTATTTGTTCAATTAAGTTTTTTTTTTTTAGGTTTTAAAGAGCTACTCCATAGACTCAGCTGAATGTACATTAAACCTTGTAATTTGTGTTCTGTGCAGTATGAATCTTCTATAAACATATTTCTTTTGTGCCATGCCGCATGTGTTTTTTAAAAATGAATACATGAACTATAACTATATGATGAAGCTGGTCCGCTAAATATGTTTCCTAATTTCTTATTTTTAAGGCCTAAAGTGTCTAAAATCATCAAAGACTGTGAAGTCAACAAAAGCTGACATTACTTCAAGCACCGCAACAATAAAGATACCATTTACAATGTATTAACAACAATGGAGCCATGTCATCTGGCTTTGTATGTTATAAGAAGATGTTTTGCCTTAATTGATTCATTATTAATATATCTTTTCATGCAGTTAGACATTGTAGAACTGAAACTGTTTAGGAGTGAAGAGAAAAAGAACACTACATTTATTACATTTGGAGTGGCGAAAATTACTTCAGAGAATCACATTGAGCTTTGTTGATTGTCAATTTTTAGTAACAGGCACAATAAAGTATACTACACAGAAGTCAGAGGGCAGTATTTTAGTCGCAGAGCTAAAATACAGAGGGATCAGGCTACGAAAGCACCTCAATTTTCACATGTAATTTTACAAACATTGAGTGGGCTGAATTTTTAATAAATTTAATTGACATACTGATAAACCACTGCAACTCCCCCCTCATCCCACCCCCGCTGACACGTTCGTCCTGAAAGACATCTCTGCCAATATTTCAGAATATGCCCGCATTGAGTTGGCATTTTAGTGGGTGATGAAAATATTTTATATTCGCAAGGTATTCTGGCGCTGTGTAGACGGCTGCCTCTCCAGTATCTTCTGGTAACCTTAATTTCCTGAGGGAGTCTTCCCAAGGGATCAATAAAGTTCAGTCTAAGTCTAAGTCTATATTTAAGAGTAGGCTTAAGACTTTCCTTTATGATAGAGCTTATAGTTAGAGTAAGTCCACCCCTGGTTGTGCTGCTATAGGCCTAGACTGCCGGGGGATGCATCATGATGCACCGAGCTCCCCTTTCCTTTCTCTCTCTCCCTCCCGGTGCAACCTCATTCCATTAACAATGTTACTAACTGGACTCTCTCCCTTCCCCGTAGTCGTGTGCTTTCTCGTCCCCCTTCTCTCTTCTCTCTCTTCCTAACACTTTCTGCAGATATTCCTGGCTCTGGAGCTGTGGGGTCTGGATCTGTGGTTGGGAGTCTCCTCCTATCACTTCCTGCAGGTGTTCCTAGAGCTGTGGAGTCTGGATCTGTGGTTGGGAGTTTCCTGCTGCCCCCATGTTCCTGCTCATCATTAGCATTAATATCATTGCCATTTTTAATCTATTCTACGTGTTGCTGTGTTGGCTGCCCCTCTCTGCTCCTTCTGTCCTTCTCTCGCCCTCTCTCTCTCTCTTGCTCTCTCTTTCCCCTCACCCCCAACCGGCCGAGGCAGATGGCCGCCCACCCTGAGCCATGGTTCTGCTCAAGGTTTCTGCCTGTTAAAAGGAAGTTTTTCCTTGCCTGTGTCGCCTAGTGCTTGCTCATGGTGGGAATTGTTGGGTTTCTGTAGTTAACTTCAGAGTAGGGTCTGACCTGCTCTGTTTGGAAAGCGCCGTGAGACAACTGTTGTTGTGATGTAGCGCTATATAAATAAAATTGAATTGAATTGAATTGAATTGAATTGAATAGATTTGGAATTCTGCGTCAAATTTTACTTTGTTCTGTTTTTACTCTCAAAGTTAATGTGAGCTCATCACAGATCTGTAAATCAGTTTCTTCAGTTGAAACGCCCATAGCTAGAGAGAGGAGAGAACATAATTCACTTTGCCATGATTTTGAAAGCGGACTGTCCAGGGTGTACCCTGCCGTGCCTCTCGCACGTTGACCACTGGGATAGGCTCCAGTTCCCCCCCGCGACCCCATCAGGGAATAAGCAGTATTGATAATGGATGGATGGATGGATGATTTTGAAAGCTAATTTCATTTACTCAGTGACTGTTGTCATCATCCATGTTAAACCAAACTAACTAATTCAACAGACACATATCTGCTTCACTTAAATGTCCGCACTTTACATCCAACAGCTTAACTTGCTAGGTGTTTGTTTTAAGAGTAATATGTAACTGAAAATTTTGTTTGGCTCTGTGAGGCAATTTGTAAACATACCCCACTTTACCAGTAAATAATTTAAGTAGCAAGAAAGAGACAGAGGCAACAAGAAAAGCACCAGAAGTGGAAGGGAAAAATGAGGAATCACAAAGGGAACAGGAGAGAAATGTGAGGGGAGAGGAGAGATAACAGGAAATGAGAAAGGGGAGGGAAAGAGGAGAATATTGTAACAGAGAGAGATAACTCACGGTGACTGAATGCTGCTGATGGACGACCTGCGAGAGAGTGCATCTCGATTTTGCTTTACAAAACTGTACATGCAAAACAAAAACAAAAGAAAAATGAGACAAAAATGTGAAGGGAACAAGAGGATAGTTTTTCTGACTATCCACTTGTTCCCCCAGTTTCAAAGTGTAGAACTAATTAATGCAACGGCTTCAATAACACAACAGCAACAGAATAACTTGTCAGCAGTGACAGTCTCACATAAAAAAATCAGGGTTTCATTCCACCTTGACAAAATAAGCGTAGGCCTTGATATTTGGTTGTATTTGCTTTAGGCCGCTTTTATTCCTCTTTAAATGATATCCAGTTGTCATTTTGTAATAAAACCCTGAGTTTGTCTATACAGTAAACACGAAGCAAATAAAAAAACACTTAATTTCAAATTAAACAAATATTCTATAACAAACTATTGAGTGACTAAATTAAATGATTCTGACACTGACAATGAATGCATAAGATCACAATGCCAAGAGTATTACAATGAAAAGTGAAAATATTAGGAAATATTGGGAAGTAGCAAACCAGTGATTTACAGATTTTTTGTCTTTGCTTCCAAAATACACCCTGGGAATGGAACAATAGACATGATGGGTTTTTAAAGAGGTAACTGTTCTGAAAAATCATTATACTAATCATTAAAAAGTTACTTGTAAAAAATGCATTATTCTTGCTTTAAAAGAAATTCAGCACACATATTTCCTTGTTATTTTTAGAAGGCTCCCAATACACTAATTTCTGTTGATATTCTGAAATGTTGATAAGCAGATAAAGGCACTTCATAATCAGAGTTAAAAACTATGCAATAAGACTAATTATAAATCAGACATTCAGAAATTAATCTATCACTTTGAAAGTTACAATGCCATACTGACAGCATGTGGAAAGGCTCTGGGGCAAAACAAGGCTTAATCAAACACATGTAAACTTATTTAATTGCCTATATCATGGGATAAGGTCAACAATAGGTTGCAATAAACAAGACAACATAACTAGAGCACTCGGAAATTACATATTAAATCAACACAGCACATATGTCCAGTTTATGTTAAGACGGAAGAGCAGATAAGATAAGGCCAACACACCAAGAGACAACAAGACGTTTATTTCCTATATGGGACTGGACAGAGCATCTGTGTTAGTGTATGAGATTCTTGGAAACTTACGCCGCAATGGAAATGTTGGCAGCTGACATCGGGCTGACTTCTTTCACTTCCAGTGCTTTCTGCATTGCAAGTTTCTTGTTGGCTGCCTCCTCCTGTTCTTCCTCATCCTTCACCCAATCAGAGCCAGATAAAAACATTTTCCTCAAAAAACTCTTGGCATCCACACCAGCAATTAACCTTTTTCGAGTCATGGTAACATTCTTACAGGTCTGAGCTCTGAACCCATCTGATAAATAGCACTAAGAAGGTCTGATACACTTACCTTTGTCAGCTCCTGTGCATTTGCGAGGTTATCAACAGCAATAGCCAAGAAAACATTCAGGAGGGTGTCTGAACAATGACAGTACTCAGTATAAAATAACAAACAGATGGTATTAGGTAATAAAATGTTCAAGAATGGAATGACCAGGTTGCATTGGCAGATGGGTAAAAGTTTGACAAGTAGTCTATACTTTGTTGTTGGCCAGATTATTTGGCTATCAGCGACTTGTTGAAGACATAATGCAGTTCTGCTAATGTAACCTGAGCAGCTGGTAACTGATTTCTAAATAGTTTAGTAGCTCTAAGGTGTTTGCAGGCAAAGTAAGTGGCTTACTTGAACACTTTAGCTTGGTATCAGAATGCTATAATACCCTGTGTATGATAGCATTCTGATACCACGCTAAACAATTTAACTGTTTTTAAGCAAAGTCACTTTTCATCATCAATTACTTACCAGGATGTCAGTAACCCATCTATGTTATAATGTAACAATAAAAACAAAAAAAGTTATTGTCAACCTGGGATCAACTTCCAAAATTTCATCCTGAACCTTTGCAGGACACACATGCAAAAAAATATTTCATGATGTCAAAGAGGATACAGTTTCCAAAGAGTGTGAGGACAATGAAATAAATGGATGAGAACATGCCGCGTCGAACTCCTCCTTGAGATTCAATGCCGTGGTACATCACAGCATTCCAGTCCTCACCAGTCAGAATCTGAACAATTCAATGCAGGCAGTGACAAAATGGGTAGATCAGAGCATTATATCTCCCTAACGAAGCATTCCCTGGAAAGATTATGTAAAAATGCTCAGCGAATGTATTTAACTGTGTGTGTGGGAATGCTCTTACCTGAAACACTGTGAGGATGGCTGCTGGAAAGGTATCAAAGTTTGTTGTTGGTGTTTCATCTTCAAAGTTAAACCTTTAAAAGTCAGAATCACAACATCACAAAACAAACAAAAGTACCCCCCCACACACACAAACACATACATACAATACTGTATAAATATATACACACCCAACCAAAATGCAGTTGAAAACATGTGTTAATCAAATCTATGAAGGTCTGCAGTTCAAGTAAAGATTAATAATGTTAATAGCAAAATGGTGAGTTGGGGGAACAGGTCACTTAAATCACATGTTTCTGCTCTTTTGAAACATGATAAAAAATGGATACATTCACACCTGCATTCAAACCTGCACATTTCTTATTTTACTTTTTGTCTGTCAAACATTTCAAGTTCCTACAAACAGACACAAACAGGGTAATACCTCTATACTTGTGAGGAGCCTTATGGGCATATTAGTGTACATTCCCTGGTTCTTTGCACTCACATAGAACTTCATTTCATAACAGCATGGAATTAATTGTTATATTTATACCAATCACCTCTGAATTGGAGAGGTGTAGAAATGTGTTTTTATGGAAACATTAAAAGGTTTTCTACACATGTTTTATGCAGTTTGGGTATGATCATTTCATAGATAGAGTATAACAAGATAAACACTAAAGAAAATGAAATGCTTTTGCTGTATCTATTGACCTCATTCTCAACATTTTTCAAACAGAATTGTTTTGAAATAAGTCAAATATTTTCTTTAGATTTGTCAACAGAAACCTACTGATTTTGTACTAAATGTTTATGTGACAACTATTTCTTTTTTATCATTCCTATAACTTTATATATATGTTTCTGAATTAATGATAAGACAAGATATGACAGATCCTGGAGATTTCCTATGTCAAAATAAACGCTAATCAAGTGTAACTTTACATGGCTCTGTTCTTTTTCTTTTTGTTGTAACAACTTTTTTTTCCCAGCTCATTTTTTTTAAAACACAAACCCATGCTTAGACTATAATACAAAGAAAATCACAACTTTAACTAAGACTTCATGTTTTAATCCTCAAACATCCATCCTTCCTCACAAAGATAGAGGTACAATGTAAATATAATTTTCTTTCTTTTCAATTATTCTATGTTACATGAAGGGGATTGTCTTATTTGACAATGGGTGGAGGGAGGAGACAGAATGAAACTAGAGCCACCACTCAAAGCTTCAAGCCCAAACCACACTGCCTCTGCAACTCAGTGCTGCATCACGTAACAATTGCATTACATACCGAAAACACAGTGATGCAGCACATCAACAAATCCACATGCTACATAAGCCATCCAGTAAAATCACATTATGTTCCCGACTAGTATTTTTCTCTTACTCTCATATTTTTCTCACCAAAGACCTGATCCCTGCTGATAAAAAGAACTATCTAAAAAACAAATAATCTTTCTGCTTGTCAAATTTGACAACCAGAGCACCACAGAAGATGTGCTAAATGACAAGACAGGAAAATCAAATTAGCCTTATGTCATGCAGGGCAGAAAGCAACAAGAACAGTGCTGCTTTTCTGGTGTAATTCATCACCTAAAAATTCCTGTTGTGTGATTCAGGTCTATTTGTAATGTTCAAAAGGCCAGTTAAACATGTGTCTTACAGAGCAAGTATGTTTTGGCCTCAACACAGCACATATGAATGAAAATTGGGCATGGGACAGACAACACAAACAATATGAAATATAGTGAAAGAAGGACGAATGAAGGCAATTTTAGTCTTTGCATCTCTCCTTTGCTTAGAAATCTCTATGTTCATACAAATAGGAAACTTTTCTTTGCAGTATTAGAAGGAACATCTGGACAAGAATTGTGAGATTGTATTTTTTGAAGATTCTTAGACAGGAACTAAAGTAGATTCAGTTATTTTAGACTAGTACTAATGGATTTGTGCAAAGCTGAGGCACTGGGTCTCAAGTTGACATAACTCACATTACAAACATGTAATGGTTTAGTTGGTGTTAAGTTGTGATTACTTGTGGAAAGTAAACAGTAGGGTCTTGTTTAACATGTAACTACTTCTAGCACACATGCAAACTTTCTACACAAAGAATCAAATTTTTTGCAGAAAGCCCCCAAATGACCCAACAAACCTGCCAAAACCTGTATCCGTGGTCTTGAAACTAAAGAAGACAATAAGAGAATGACACAGATAGGCATAAGGAGAAGTTTGTTTTTTTCTGGGGTAATGCTCTTCAGTCATTCCTCAAAATAAAAGGATGGTTGCAAATAATATTTTGGTTTGAACAGAAATGGGGAAAAAAATTTAGAACGAAAGAGGGGAACTGTGACAGCACTCAGGTTACCGTTAAGGAAGTTACATCAACATATATATGTTACTTTGCAATGTCCTTCTCATTTAAAAACAAAGGAACTCCATCATTTCTTTCCATTCAGCAGAGGAAAAAAAGAACAACAAAAAAGAACAACAAAGAGTTGCTGATCTTTATTGCAATTTCATCACAAGATCAGACAATGAAATGCAAGAGCTGCATCTCAGATCAGAACAGTGATTATGCTGTTCATCTGAGTTCATTTTGACATTACCTACAGTACCTACAGCAAATTGATAGAAAATTAATATTGTTTGTAATTAACAATTCCAAAAAGGTCTTTAGAAAATTTAGCATATTACAGTGTTTTAGAATGTAAAAAAAAAGCTTTTTATTGCTCTCTATTACTATTTATTCACTACTTATCTCAGGACAGAACACGTTGTTGTATGTTGTGGCAAAGCATGGTGGTGCCACGTAGTTTTTGTATCTGAAAACTAAAAGCATAAAATGAGCTAGTAGGGGTCTTTTTTATTAATACAGTACCATTTCAGTGACAAATTTACAAACCACTATAAACATATAAATATTTGAAAAGGTGTATGAAAGCAATGTTGAAAAACAGAGTTTTCATGACACAATAAAACAAATGCGATATTCAACAAAATTCATGCAAGAACTCAATTATATGGAAAAACCCCTTTGGCTATAATCAGAAAGCTTTCTTCAAGATTCTAAAATGTATTTTGGCAGATATGACTTTATAAGTTGTTCTTGTTTTATTTTTAGAGTAATTAAAAACCTTTTAGAATCAGCAACCATATAATTCACAGTCCTTGACAAGTGCATGAAAAGACCCAGAAAAGTAAAACGAGAGAAAATGTGTTGGAAAACGAAAATGACATTTGGAAAGAGTTGACAAAGGATAAGGGGCATGCAAAAACAAGGACAAGATGTGCAGCACACTGTTACCACAGCTACAGTCTTCACCAATGTCTGGTTTCTTTTTCACCGCACAGATCCAGTTAATGCATATATGTACAGGAAACATACTGGTATTTCTATGCATTTTTACAAGATTGTGTAAAATATCAAATGAATCTCCTTTTACCTATATGTTAGATTGTTAGAATGTATGTCCATGTTTAGAATAATTAATTTAAAACTGAAAATATGGAAAATCTCAACTCCCATTCATAGTTGGATAGACATGCAAGATTTTTAGATGGAGAAGAAAATTATTTGATGCCTTTATGTGAATTTTATGGGAAGATAGATTTGCATCTATAGCTCTGATACTCTAAATATATGCTATGTTTGACCTGACTACCACTGACTACCATTACACCTCATGAAAAATCATCAGCACACAATCAGCATAAACCCAATTTCTGTTGCAATCATCGGCCTTGCTATAATTGCACTGATCATATTGTGTGATGGGGTTAAGTGAGGAAAAGTGGATGACTTGTGTCGAGTAGCTTTCTTTTACTTCATTTCCAATTACCTTTCCCCCTCTCTTTTTATCTATTGCATCCTCCAACATACACCACTGTGTCCACCTGTCCTCTTCATCTTACCTCACTTTATTTAACCTAACTGGAGTTTTCCTTCCTTTTCTTTCGTTTTTCTGTCTGGGTCCCATATTTACTATTTTTCCTTTCAACACTTCTCTATTTTTCCTCCCTTCTTTCTTTAGGGATTAGCCAACATACCACAGTGAGCGGCAGTGGTAATTTGCAGCTGTGCCTGTGTGTGCAGGCCTCTGATAATAGGGATTGGGAGCATGCTGCTTAGCTTTCATGAGTCTTCCGAGGAGACTTCATTAACTCAATAGTGGAAGGAGAAGTCTTTAAGGCCGAACTCCCCACAAGCTTGAGACCCTACTCCCCTTAATCTAATCCTGACAACAATAGCAGTAGGTTTAGGTTAAGTACATGACGACAAAACACATTTCAAATTGCGCACACATGGATTGGAGATAGAAGCTGACTGACATTTGGAGAATCAAACGGAAAACACTACTCAGCAGCTTCTTGACAAGCACCGATGAAAAATAAGCTTTGTTGAGCTTTGTGTTTAAAGCAAAGACTCAGGTTACACAGTGGGTTTGATTTGCCTTACATTTTTCCAATAGCAAATGCAAAGAATACTAACATTTGCCAAATTTTGGGTCTAAATTGTAAATCATAATTCTCTAGTATTCTTCAGTTCTGATTGAATGTCAGATCTTAAGAAATACCAACTATACTAAAATATTTGAAAATATCAACTTAGCAGTTACTTGGTAGAGATCACAAACAATGATATTTTAAAATGTTTATCACAAACTGTAGAATCATTGTGCATGCACAGATGGAGGCAAAAGCTCCTATATGAAACAGCCAGGATTACTCAACAAAGATAGGATATTCTTCAAAAACAGAAAGCTATAAATTAGCAGATTAAAGATAAATCATGCTAAGTTAATTTAGAAGAAACAATGTTTAAAGCATGATTATTTCCTGCTTGTCTCACTGTTTATATTTTAGTTTTCACAATTTCACATTACTTTTTTACAGCTGAAACATAATCACAGTGCAAAAAATAAATGCTGTTAGTGAGAGTGCATGTTTCTTCATGGATAACTCATTAAATCCTTTTTTAAACAATTGAAAAAATTCAGCTTTCACTGAAATGTAACATTTTCTATACATAATTGTCTGAAAACATTCTATTCTTAGGTTCATTATAATATGACACATATTAACGTGATATTTGGATTCATAGCAAGTTTGTTGCCCAAAGACCTAAAGTTGTGTTTTTTTTATGATGGCTGTCTGTCGAAAGGAACATTTTTTATAAAAGAAAAAGAGCACCTGCCAGGGAGCTTGAATTGTCATTTATGCTTTCAATAAATATTTGCTCACAATAACTGATCAAATTAATGACCCACCAACCCACAATACATTGATTCTGCACCGTATCCCATATATTTTCATCATAAGGTTTTTGAGGGTAACATTCCATAAGTACTATAAGCGACGTCTGAACATGAAAAGTCAGCATGATTTTTTGCAAGCTTATTCGTAGCCTGAGGAAGAAACCTTGTGCTAACAAAGAAAGATGATAACTATCATCATGACACTGTGTGGAGTGGAAATGGAGGTTTTATTGTGCCAGAGCAAACAAGACTGTCTCTTCCACACTTGTTTTGCAGAAACACATGCTGTTGGTATATGTTTCTTTGATTAGCAACAACTCGACTTTTGTTTAGTTGCATAAAGGACCAGACATATTCCTTATGTTTGGAAAGATTTATATATCCTTGTTAGCAGTTAGCACCAAAATCCTAACCTCTGAGCTTTAAGAAGGCTTCTAAGTGTATATAATAAAGCCACATTTTCCAAGACTATAACTTACAATTACTGAAGTGATATGAGGTTATATATATTGGAAAGTAAAAGGGATGTGTGGAAACTGAGTCAGGAGGCGCTGAATGCCAAGCCTTTGATTTACTGCACCCAGCGTGGGAACAGGAGGTGTTCCTATCATTAAGAGACATGGAGCTCATGCTGAGAGGATATCAAAAGGCTGAAGTTGGCGCTGCTGTTCAGCTAGCTTCCTGCCGCGCCAACATGTCTGTCACCACTACCATAGTGGGCCAGGGATCACACACCGGGAGGTGGCTATGGCCGAGAAATATAAAGGAGAATAAGAGAATAACCGTATGTCTCTTCGTGTGTGCCATAAATGGACTATGGGTAAAGAAAAGTGCACGGAAGATGTACTCACTGTCCTCCAAAGAGCTGCATGCCCAGCAAAGCAAAGACCACAATGAAAAGGAAGAGAAGGAAGAGCAAGCTGATGATGGACTTCATGGAGTTGAGGAGAGACACAACAAGGTTCCTCAGTGAATTCCAATATCTGAGCAGATAGACAGTAGAGAGTAATACAAATAAATAAAACAAAAAAGATATGAATAAATTAATTGAGAATTAAATTTCATTATTCATTTGAACTAATTTACCAAAATGTTTTATCACATATATACAAGTAGTATTTACAAGACCATGTAGTAATGTTTAGTGTTTACATGTCATCCCATATACGTTCCTTGCGTTTGTCTGGACCTAGATTTCATCAAAAGGAGATGATACTTTGAAATTAAATGAGAAGCTTCCTAATTTTATTAGACAAAGTTTTGTCTAGCTTCTGAGGCAAAGACTATCATCTGCATGCATTGTCCCTTTTTCTGAGGTCACTGATTGTAAAACAACAAGTCTAACTATCTAAAATGCCTGGATGTTTAAAAAAAACAGGGCGTTCAGACTCAGCTGAGTTTATTTATGTTGGCATATCTTAATCTTTCTGAATGCAAACAAGTCACAGAATATAAGGGGTTCTGTAGACCTATGTAGTAATAACTAATAAGTGAGTTGTAAATGCTTTCTGTCCCTGATCCTGTTTCATGAACAATTAATAATGTGAATTATTTGAAGATGGAAGATTTACTGAACTCATAAGTAAGCTAAATAATTTGACCATGGCCAAAACTTGCGTGTCAAAAGCTACACAAAGCATTAACAGTGTCATAAAAGCACATGTGTTTTTAGTAAACTGCAGTATATCATTATTGGGCTGCTAATTTGCAATGTGATAAGATTTTTGTACTGGTCCTGGTACATCTGCAAGATCAACATAATGTTCATAGACAAACTAAAAAACTGGCCAAACCAATAAACACTGACCTGGACTGTGGCCCCTTGCTAATTTACCTCAAGGCTTTATTCTATGAGTCACTTTAGCCAATTTATTTTTGACACATCGGGGGCTTGTTCATTAGCAATTATGCAGTACTAGAGAAAGAAAGATAATTTATCTAATGTGGCAATAGAAACTCAATATGCTTCTGATTATCTGCACTAATGTGTTGCATTTTCTTATGTTGGCTTACTTGGTGACTTTGAAAATCCTGAGGAGTCTCAAGGCCCTCAACACACTGATACCAAATGATGCCCCTGGTTTAATCATGTCCCAGATCACCTCTAAAATACTCCCCACAATTACCTGGAGACAAGAACAAATAGTTTTTTTTTAGTTTTGTTTTTGTTATAAAATGAACCAAGTAGAGGACACCTACAGCAACTTACCCCAAAATCAAAGCAGTTAAATGACGAGTGAAAGTAATTTCTTGCTCCCAGGCCGTACATCTTCAGTGTCATCTCAGTCAAAAATAAACCCAGAAACACAAACTCTGCAGTGTCTGATTATGAGATAGACAGAATTATAAAACAAATATCACACAAAATATTTCAACTTTAATTTGATTTACTATAATTGTGTATCTGTAAAAGTGACTTACAGAGGGCTCTTGTAAGCCACTCCGGTTGGTCGTAGTGCACTATGGCTACACAGAGAGTGTTGAGGCCCACCAGGCACAGGACAATCCAGTAGAAACTTTGAGCTTTCACCATGCGGCGGATAAAGAAACGAATCCTCTTTTCTTTGCGGCGGAAGTAAGATGAGCTGTCTATTTTACCACTCTTCACACTTGCCCGACCAAATGGAGAGCCAGGGGGAGCTGAAAACAATGACAAAGAGAATAGACAGTAAATGTGTTGGTCAATCTAAAATTTTCACTCTGATTCATTTTGTGCTTTCCAAAGGTTCCCCTTTCTATTGTGACAAACACTATTTTTGCCCATCAAGATTAATGAATTCATATCAGACGATTTCACCAACAAAAGTGATTGGTAAATAATAATTACAAAAAAGAAAAAAACAAAAACAACGTATATACATATTGATCAGTATAAGCTCAACACCATATAACATATCAATATATACATTTGAACATAAATAGAAAACCAATGCGATAGACAAAATATCCAATTGTATACATTTGTAAGAATATGTAACATCAGATTTGACCTCAATTAGTGGAAAGTGTATGGAAGATTAATACAATAATTCATATAAAGACATTAACAAAAACAGTGTTGGTTTTCAGCCTGCGTTGAAAGCATTTTACTGCCGCCACAGACAATTACATGTACTTGACAGAAGTTATGCCTGTTTCTTAAACTTGTGCCAAAACCAGTATACACTGTTCCATTCTGGCAGCCTGACTTGTCAAACAGCTACAAGAGACAGATGACATCATTTTGTGTTTGTTTTTTAAACCTTTTTGAGCGAGCATGAAAATACGTTCCCAGCCATTATAAAGCAATAATATAGTCCCTGGTAGGACTGTTGATAACTCTTCTGCATCTGCTCATTGAAAAATGTGCAACTAATAGTGACTAACTGCAAGCCCTATGTTTGAAACGAGTTAGATAAAAGACAGACTGACATCTGTTCCCTGAGCACTTCATTTTATGGTAAACAGACATTAGAAAGAATTATAAACTGACAGCAACAAAGTGGTTTTAATTATCACGCTAATGCCTGTTTCCAACTTACAAAAAAGTGGTTATATATAGTCTCTGTGTGAAGCACAATAATACTGAAATGTAAAACTCTGACATGCTAAAGGTAAAGGTTCTCCTGCTATTTTGGCTGAACCATGTAATGAGAAAAGATAATTATATACCTCCTTTTCACAGAGAGACATCTATAGTCAAAAGGAATTGCTTTAGATCTCTGGATATGGGTACAATGGAAATGGGCTCACTGCAATTAATTAGGAAATTTGACTCCACAGTTTATAGTGATCGGCACACATTGGGTGTCATAACCCACTAACCGGATAAAAGAAGGTCAAAGAATCAGGGGATGTGTGTATTGTAGTAGACTAGGCTTTGGATGTAAAGTTCGTCTGTGAACAAGTGATTGGAGATGGTATATTTGGTATACCATCTCCATGGTATATATGTAAGATTTACCAACAGAGGACATGTCAGCAAAAGGATCCTCTCCTTCCTCAGCACCTATAAGGTCGTTTTTACCTTTCTTCATTTTGCCTCGTTTCAGAACTGGAAAAAAAAACAACACAAACATGAGGGACAATAACTTACAGCAGTAGACATACTGACACATAAGATTTGTAGGATATATAGATCTTAAAGGCGGACATATCAATCCCTGTGCCGAGGTGCGTATCGGTATCCGATTGATACTTGCATGATAAGATTGGTACATTTGTTCATCAGTCTCTTTTTCAGTAAAAAACTTGAATTCCCCTTCTAGAGTTCAAGCCAACAGATGTTTTGTTGCTCAGCCAAGCCCACTCAACCCCTGAAAACTGTGCATAATTTTGTTCCATGAGGCTAACGAACATGAATTTCTCTACCCCAAAACACAATGAGACCAGACATTAGCAGAAATTAGCTAAAAGTATTTTGGTTGACAGGGTTTTCTGTCATTTTTCTGTATGCAAAAGGAACTTTTCTTTTTATGAGACTTTAAAAGTATGAGCTTTTCAAATAATTACATTCTTATGGTAAAAGTATGTGGCATAATTTTGCTGTTGCTTATGTATAACATATCAAATGCAATAAATGACTCTGTTTTACAAAATGTGGTGGGTTGCCCATCCAAGCTTTTTTTAAGCTTGTATCACAGAGCTGCTTGCTTGTTTCACTTGCAAGATCAGGTATTGAGTCGGAATCGGATCAATACCAAAATTCCCAGTATCTCCCACCCCTAATAGATAGGATAAAACAGGAGTAAGGAGGTGTGCAGTTTAGAGAGACTGAAAGCATAAATTGGATAATCTAAACATCAAGATTGCAAGAATCTTAGATAATTTTGTAATATTTGGGGGTATTAATGTATTTTATTATCAATCTTTTTTTCTAAACAAATACGTTTTCTAGTTTTCTAACAATAAAACAATTACTTTTTTATCTCTACACAAAACATCTAGTCCTTCAGAAAACAAAACGCATCATTTCCTTTCTTTCTTACCATGAGGTTATTTTAGAATAAGGAATTATAAAATGTTTTCTGCTGCGACAGTCTGCCATTATTCATATTTCGTTGGCAGGATTTTTTCCTTATTTCTGCCGTTCATTTATCAACGACCAATGCATATTTTCAGCTCTAATGACATCAGGGTGCTCTTTTTCTACAGCTGTATACTCAAATGTTTAAATCCTTAATTTTTACTAATTGAGAACACAAAGCCGTTGGCTTGTGTCACTTTGCTTGAATCATCAACATGGATGTGTGCTCACTGCATGCCTGTTTCCTGGCAAATGCATAAGAGTTTGTGTGTGTGTGTGTGTGTGTGTGTGTGTGTGTGTGTGTGTGTGTGTGTGTGTGTGTGTGTGTGTGCGTGTGTG